AGGGTCTCGAAACTAAACGTATTTTCAGATACGTTAATAATAAAAAAATAAAATTTTGAATTTTGATATATTTTAATAGAATTGCTGGAAAAAAGGAGGACCACGTGGGACCTTATGGTACATGAGGAAGGCCACTTCTCTAACACGCGGAACCCAGAAGAGATTCCAACACACCTCATATGCTCAGTAATGGAGTTCATGGAATTGTATTAAAGGCTTGACTGAGGCCGAAGTGAATTTGGCCAGCCTTCCCTTGTGACCAGACAGTAGGTGTGGCTCCTTTCAATTACGTAATTGAAATAGTTGCAGTTGATTTCGAATTAATAATTCCAAGTTGAGAGGGGTGGAGTTTTAAACCGGAAATAGAAAGCTGACTGCTCTTCAGCAACACTCCAAAAGACTTCATAAAATAATAAAAGAGAAGCAAAGATGTCCCTGTACTTAACTAATTAAGCACAATGCCGTGAAGGCGTATGGGCGAGTGGATGTATAGATCAACGTTTTGTTGACTAGGGCACTAGTTGGATGTCAGCTTCACGTTCCGGCCGCTTTATATCTGGGGAAAGAGACCCCGGTATCCATTGGATAGGAGGCTGGATGGGCCCCGGATTCGGTCTGGACGACGTGGCGAAGAGAAAATTCTTGACGCTACCGAGACTCGAACTCCAACCGCTCGATCGTCCAGCCCGTAGGCATTAGCTATTTCGACTACGCTATTCAGAGACATTTATTACATGAGAACACCCCAATTTCTGATTTAAAGTCTGAAATTCATATAAAAATTTGGTATGGATTATTTAAGTGTTAAAATCAATGTTAACAGGGGAATCCCATGCTGTTCTTATATCTTGTGATGCGTCATGGGACTGTCCATCAAGGGTGTGGTACACAGTACGGTCCCGTGACGTCACATTCTCGTCAGGCAAACGAAGATGTCCGCGCTAGTTTCCAGTTCGGAAAAACTACGTCGCTATGCAACTTTCGTTCATGGTCCCAGGCGTTGCTCATTTTCTGGCCACATTCCTTACACGCCTAACATTTTTATGCAGACCAATTGATGGTAGGAAGCCGGTTATTTCAGGCTGTACCGTAACTAGGTTGAGGGCTCGAGAAACCGGGGGTTTGATTCCAGGCAGGGGCAACAGCACCCATACAGGCTTGGGACATCATATCGAATGGAAATCTGGTATGTATTGCAGGGGGTTATACGGCCGGGGGGTGAAGCTGACCACTCAACTCCATCTAGCGATGAGGCTTGGAATGCTAGGAGCTGCACGTCCACTCCCGCTACCCTATGAGCAACTCATCCCGTTGCTGCGCGACATTCGGTAAACAACCCTCCCCGCTAGGTTGTGTCGTCACGCAACAGTAGGGCGTCCATTTGCTAGGCAATGCGTGGGTAAAAAAACGCCTGACAACGATATCTGATATGTTGCCGGTCAGCAATGTGTTTTCTATGTGGTCCGTGCCGAGCCTCTATAAGGAGCAGCGAACACTTGCTTTTGTCCATTCTTTACGGCTCACATCAGATGAGAAATTTATATCATCGTTAAATTTGAGAGGGACATCACGGAAAACCCATGTTACACAAAGTGTGGGAAGGAGCGAGAGAGAGGGCTGTGTAGGTTATGTTGCTACGTCATTCGGTATGGAGAATATATTTCCTGGTAGCATTTGCTTGTTCGTTGCTGCGTACACAATAAAACCACAAGTTTTCGCTGCAATTTATAGAGCCGCGAACAAAGAGTCTTTTTAAACATGTCCATTGGTTTAGCACCTGAATTCAGTTAAATTCGCGATTTAATTAACACGCATTGTTCACATAATTGGCTTCTGGATTCACATCAACGAAGCGGACAGCTTTGTTCTTGCGTAAGATATGATCTCACGTGTGAAGTAATTCGAAATCAGCTCGTGAAAATGAAAAAAGTTTGATGCAAATATTGCTTATCTCTCAAGAAAGCAGTCTTCTGGGATTTGGCACCGTGTATATGTGGTGTTAACCGACGTTTCGGAGGAACGTATCGCCTCCATCTTCAGGGTAGAAGGAAAAATATAAGAAATCTGCAAGCGAAGAGACCGTGGGAACCGGTATTCGAGCCAATACGCCACAATATTAATTACAAAGTGAGCATGAATAAAGATACAGAAACAAAAGCACACAGACAAAACCACAATGTGACAGCGAAGAACAATTTGAGTTTCAAATAGAGCAGTATACAACAACAACAACAACAACAACAACAATAATAATAATAATAATAATAATAATAATAATAATTAAATTCTTTATTATTTATGTGCCGAGTCAACAGCCACAAGGCCAATTACAGACACAGCACAGTATAGATAAAGGTAGTTACATACTGGACAGTCACAACATAAAGTCAAAGACTAATTAAAGGTAAGCACTGGAGGAAAACACATTAATGCAGACAAGTATACAAACAAATAAAAGTAATAATATTAATAATAATAATAATTTCATTAACATAAATCTAAGTTATTGAGAACTGAAAAATGAAACGTATAAATATTTAATTGAGAAATGAAAAGTAATAATAATACCTTTTATTTGTTTATATGCGTACTCAACTTCCAAAAAGTCGATTATAAAGTAAGCATATGCTAAGGAAAGAACCACGCACACAAACAACACATAAAACAAGGACAATTTTATGATTCAGGTCATGACACACAATTTTCGCCCTTAGTACTTCATCTTCCCCACAGACAACATTAGCATCTGAAGCGAATCTTGCTGAAGGAGAAATTTACATGTAGAGCAGTTATTAAAAGTAGAAAGTCTCTGATATTTTCGGGCAGAAACTCAAGAACCAACAGTTTTGAAAAGAGAACGGCAGAATTGAGAACAGAGGTAAATTTGAATAGAGAAGAGTTTATGAATGTAATACCTTCTCTTACGCAAGGAGTAGAATTGTAGCTGCTCTAAAGCATAACCATAATTCTAATGTACACGGGAAAAGAGGTGATTAAAACATGAGGTTGCAAAACTTGCTCGATGCGTTGCATCAATCAACGTAATGGAATTGCGAATAACAAGAGGCGTATTCACGCTTATTCGCGCATCAAAATAATGTCTAATAGAATCTGTACATGTAGGAACATATTCTAGCACGTAGACTCGTTACGAAGCAACGACTATGTAAACAACGTCCATTGCTACGCAACATATTCCTCCCACTTGACCAGACACGAAAGAGGAGAACTGGGGGCACGCGGTAGCGTAGTTGGTTGAGACACTATGCTACAAACCGGAGGAAAACGGTCAGAATTCCGATGCAGTCATTGGACTGTTTCTATTTACCTAACCCTTCCAGCTACATCATGGCCCTGGGGTCGACTCAGCCTCTAAGAGAAGTGAGTACCAGGAATATTAATGGGGGTAAAGGGCAGCTGGCGCTTAAGGCTGAAATCGCCATCTGTGAGCAGAATTTGTAAAAGATGTGGGAGCCTAGATGTCTCACAATTTTTGGGCCTCCATGGCCTGTTACAGGGATGTTGATGATGAAGATTATTAAAAATGAATTATGAACAAATATAATAAGGAACGCTGTGTTTTGAGAAATAAGCAGGACGGTTTTAGCTATAAACAAGACGATGGATAATGTCCAGAAACATATTATTTGTACCAATGTACCATTGTCACAAAGTTTTAGATCTTAAGGAACTTATATATATTTAAAAGAGACATCTTTAGATGTTACACTTATTAATATCAGAATAAACAGCGAAGTCCATCAGGCGTAGCAAATTTATTGCAAAAATATGAAAGTTTGCTTTTACATGTTCCGGCCCTACTGGCTATCGTCAGAAGGCGCATTGAGCACAATAGAGAAATACTTTACATGTCTGCTTTAAAATAAGTTGCCATGAAGGGGCTCAAAGTTAAAAGCAATTATTTATAACCAGTTGAAATGAGGACGCGCATAGAAAGAACTCTCATATCCACAGCGCCACATAATTTCAGTCCAAGACGGCAGGTCCTACATATCATCGCATGGTCACGTGATAACACACAATAACGGCCCACGGGTATGGCAAATGAGTAATTACGGTTGATTAATAACACAGTTATTGAGTTTTTGAACATTATTTAGTGTATCAAATTATAATGTTCAAAGCCGCAGTAATTGCATTAATGTAATGCAATTAATGTAATGTTTTAGGGTTGACCATAGAAGGGGTGCGGATCTGATATTGGGTTTATTGACCACATTAACGCAAAACTCAAAACTACAAATAATTATAGTGCTATAGATGATCTACACGCTTCACAAATCGCTAGGACACGTTAAGTCTTCTCAGACTTCACTAGTCCTATCCTGGTAACGGATTTATAAGTCTCACTATAGCTACATCACACAAACTCTTATTTCCGCGCCCGGACTTTCTAGTAATTACAGCGCTATCGCTGATTTCCACACTTACAAACCATACGCTAAATTTTCTCTTCACAGCCGGACTTAAAGTCAGAGTTACTTTATGACTGGCTGTCTACCTCTGATCAGTTCGTCTTGGCGCCAGGCCCCTTGAGACCCACAACCACTATTTTCTTTTTTTTTAACAGAATACATGCGTTTATATTCCTTTTGTAACGTCCTCTCTGACGAGAGAATGGGTCACGCCAGCGCAGTCATTCTTGGGTCTAAGTCCTGCGGGACTGATGACCATATTTAATGTCTCAAATTTGAGACTCCCCAAATCTGGAGGGCCAGATCCCCTTATTTATATCCCCCAGGAGCAGGATGGACCAGTTATACCCCCAGACATTGAGCACTCTTTCGATCGCCTCCTATGACTCGGAGGGTCACTGTGGAGGTATTCGACCCCACCTCCACACGGGTGTGGAGGCTTGGAAAAAGCATGCGAAGTTTGCACTGGATACATTGCCTACCTAACGAAATGAACAACAGCGATATGAAGACAGAATATTATGCAAGAAATTTGATAGTATTGATTTATTTTATTTGTTGCAGAATTAGAACCCGAGCTGGGAGTCGAACACTTGCCCGACTTGCGCTATCCCGACGGGGACCCACCTTGCCACTTCTGTTGTCAACAAACCAGCACATCCATTCACGATGAAAACAGACTCAAAATTGTCAGTGGAGGTAAGTGACTTGTAATGTGAAAAACTGTCTAACTTCGGGTTACTGAGGGGCCACATTGTATCTCATGTTCCCACCCGCAGGCAGCGTTGTATGAATCGTTTTCAAAATATACTGATATGCCGTAGTGGGGTGAGACACTATGTTAAAAGCTGGAAGCTCTCGGGTTCGATGCCCGATGCCATTGGATTCTTTTCAATTGACCTAATCCTTCCATCCCCTAACAGAAATGAGTACCAGAAATCGTCCTAGGGGTAAAGGGCGGCCGGCGTGTCAAGCAGACAACCTCTCAGCCATCTGTGAGTTGATTATCTAGAAAATGTGGGAGCCTCGACGTCTCACAAACGTAAGGACTTCCCAGCCTATTCTTAACTTTCCCTCCAAGTCCGGCGGTGTAAGTGCTCAAGTCATGGCCCATTCTGAATAGAAATTGCGATTTTAGAAAAGTGTCCATAACATGTTTTAAATCTATAAGCTTCTCAAAATAATTTCACGTGTAGGGGTTTGCGCGTGTCTTATAAGACGGGTTATGGATTGGATGATTAAATTTATTGATACCTTATTCACAAAACTCGGGACTACAGGCCATAGAGCATTATCACTATTCTTCAAACTCTACAGTTCACCGTTACACACGGAGTAGGGTTATCATTCTTCACTAGTCTTATCCTGGCAACGGATTTCATAACAATCTTACTGTCACTTCAAATCACATATGAAGTCTTCTTTGTGCGTCCTAATTCCTCTCTTGCCGTTGTTGTCGACTCAGTTGAGTTCCTCTCCTTCCAGGCTCATGTCCTGGCAGCCTGGCGTCTCGAAACTGGGCTCTTCGCTCTATCCTGCTCAGTTGAATTCTTCTTTATAATCACTTTGCACGGACCCCGCGGTAAACCCTGTCTTCTATTGTCCCCTATTGTTTAGACGTGTTTGCAGCACAATTGCATAGCAAAGGTCGCTATATATATTATTTAAATATAGGAATGTTGTTTATGAAGTAGCAGAAGCCTTGCAGAAAGCTTTTTTCCTGTAGCTTTAAGAGCTCTGTAACTTTTTTTGGTAATCTTCTTTGCTGTTCTAAGACAAAATGTCTATCATTGTTGCCCTTTGTGCCTCGTACCGTTTACACTCTCTGCTTCGTCAAGCCAGGTCTCTGATAGCATTATGAAACCTTACATAACTTGATTATTGAGCCATCTATGGACAGCTTTGAAATGACGGCGAAGTACCAAATATTCTGATATATTTAGTGTTGTAGTACCACGAATATTTATGAAGCTCCTCATTTTGCAGTTTTCTTCAACCTCCGGTCACTTCATCTTTATTTGAACTGAAGAGAGATGAGGTGACAGGAGGTTGGAGAAAACTGCATAATGAGGAGCTTCATAACTTGTACTCTTCTCCAAGTATAATTAGAATGATCAAGTCAAGGAGGATGAGGTGGGCAGGTCATGTAGCACGAATGGGGGAGACGACTAATGCGTATAGGATAATGGTGGGAAAGCCAGAAGGAAAGAGACCACTGGGAAGACCAACGCGTAGGTGGGTGGACAATATTGAAATGGATCTTAAAGCGATAGGATGCGATGGGATGGATTGGATTGATCTGGCTCAGGATAGGGACACGTGGAGGGTTCTTGAGAGCACGGTAACGAATCTTCGGGTTACATAAAATGCTGGGAAATTATTAAATAGCTGCAGAATTGGCGGCTCCTCCAGAAGGGCTCAGCTCCATGAGTAAGTACCACGAAAAGTTATATATTGTATTTGGGTAACTTGGGCTTTCTGTTCGCAGGTTTGGTTCGAAGTCGTGACGGCAGCCGTGATGACACGGGGACACACTTTATGAACCTTCCTTCACCAAACGTCCAAAGTGAGGTAATTGAGAAAACTTTAAATAGTTTAAACCTTGTGTTAATACTGTCACGCATACGTGTGTGACTGTAGACGGGGTTTTGGATAAATGGATTTATTGACCACTTATACACACGACTCGGAACTACAAGTAATAGCAACGCCACTGCTTATCTCCACAAATCACAAATCACCGCTGCTAGCACCAAGTCTTCTTAGTTTGCTTTCACTAGACGTTTCCTAGTAACGGATCTTAACAACGACGATTCTTCCGATTCTGTTCTCACGTCGTTACTGTCCAGCGAATATCCCGCAACTGAACCTCTCAGCCCCTTTTGCAGATCTCAACTGTACTCAGCACTCAATTAACTGGATTCTCCCAATTGTCTCCCTTATAAATACTTTGCACAGACCGAAGAGAAAACAGCGATCTCAACAATAACTCCATTGTTGTAGATGCTTGTTTACAGATCCGTTGCTTAGAAACGTATTGCATAACTTCGTTCTTCCACTGTTGCATGCGTGTTCGTTTCCATGGGAACATGTTTACCGATCCGTTGCCTAGTAATGGACGTTTCCTCCGGCTCCACTATTCCGGCCATCATGCGTAATGTCCACTTCTGTAGGCATTGGTTCGAAACCCACTTCTGACACCAATTTTGTCACGTATAGTTTTAATGCGACAAGAAATTGTTGGGTTCCGGATTAGACGAAGCTGTTTTATTGGATAACTCGTTTAAAATTCCAGTCACCCAGAAATAGCTTCTTTCAGGCAATCCGGCCTGCCTACTGTGTCGCCTTCTGGCTCTGGGCTGAGCTGAGCTGGTTTCTTCTGCTCTCAGCTCAGCTCCGTTCGCGTCTGTTCTCAGTTCTGGCCTGTTCTCAATTCTCTCTGATCTGACCTCCGCTGTGTTATGTTTCGTCTGTTATATTCTACGGTCGGACGGACTAGAAGACACCTTCTTGAAGGGTTCCGCTTCACGTGTTAGCTAGTGTATCTGTCACCGCGGGAACCCCCCTAGCTCTGGCTTCCATTGCCGTGCTAACGTCTGTTAGTATACGCTGTCTCGGATACGTGTTTTAACGAGCCGTTGTCTAGCAATGGACGGCCGCTCTGACTCAAGATATTGCGGCTTTCAGGCCGCACGCCACACCATATTCGTGCACTGTAGTATGCGTGACATTCCATGTAAATTCTGGCATTTGTTTTTCTTTTCTTCTAGGTTTTGCTGTTATTCCCTGGAGTCGTTGCTCTCAAATAAATGCTATTCATTTATATGCATTATGAAGTTATGATTTATATATATGGAAGATGTATATTCGTCTACATTTAGAATTTCCGTAAAATTTGATGCGTAAATCATTTCGCCTGTTTTTCTCTCCACCCCTCAGTACATCTCGTGTTTCTCATTAATCGTCCGTTTTGTTCTTCCTTTGATTCGCAAGGAAAATGAGGATTTTACTGCTCCTCTTATATGTTTCTTACTCGCAGGTAAATTTTTAACAAATTAAATACTGTGGCGTGCCTCCTAAAAGCCATAATATCTTGAGTCAGAGCGGACTTCCATTCCTAGACAACGGCTTGTTAAAACAAGTTTCCGAAACAGCGTATACATAACAGACGTTACCACGGTAATGAAAGCCAGAACCAGGGCGGATCCCGCGGTAAAGAATACGGTAGCTGACACGTGAAACGGAACCCTTGAAGAAAGTGTCTTCTAGTCCGCCGGCTGTAGAAGGTAACAGACCAAACATAACAGAGCGCAGACCAGATCGGAGGCGAACGGAGCAGAGCTGAGAGCAGAAGAAACCAGCTCAGCCAAGAGCCAGAAGACGAAACGTGAGACACCAAGGACTAGTCAGGTCACATCGCCTGGAAGACGCTATTTCTGAGTGACTGTAATTGCAATTGTTAAAGACTTATCCAATAAATCGCTTCGTCTAATCAGGAACTCCTTAATTTATTGTCACGGAACCCCGGACACTGACAATAATTTTCATAAATTTTGACATTCACTTAAATTTACTGAAGACGACACCATTTCGGTTCATTGTCATCAGTAACATCGTCACAGTGGCCTTTAAGTTGTGTCTCGTTTGTTGTGAATGCTTAAGGAGTTGTTTTACGATTCACATTAAACTGCGCAACTATTTGTCGTTCTGTTTAAGCTATTGGCATGCATTTAGTGACTAGACACGAGATCTGAATTGGTAATTGGATTTCCTGGACAGCTACAAGAAATTACAGAGCGATTGCCAATTGACGGACTTTAAAATTCACTATCCTAAGCACTGTTCTTCTCAGTCTGCTGTGTCTTCAAATACGCGCTGCCTGGTAACGGATCACACAACAATAGATTTGTCGGCTTTGGTGTTCCACGGCTCCTGTCCTAGCTGGCTGGCGCCTATCTCACAAATCACTCGCATCGGTCAGTAAAATCGCTGCTGGTCTTCTCCAGCATGGTAAATCTCCGTTTCGGGTTCTGTGGGAAACCATGGTTATATTTTTGTTTTTTCCAAGATTTTTACATATTTTGAAATGGTCGGTCGGTCAGTTGCTTCTGGCTTTCGACAGCACAGTTATTTTCCTCGAATTCCATGTTCAAGATCTTCATTCTCTTATAGAAAAAAAATCGAAACCAAATTATGTTGGTGTCAAGTCCCTTCTGGAGGAAAAGACCAGATTTTTGTTACTGTCAGAAAGAGTTGTGGGACATTGAACTGCTTCTAGTCATACAGATTCGGGACGGACCTGGCAGGAAACACTGCTTCCAACAATACTTCTGTTAAAATGCGTAACTGGTTCTGCGCTGACATGGCGTTTACTGCGCCTTAACGTAGTAACGGCGTTCTCTTCAGTTGTAACGTCACAGTACAGTCGTATAACAACAGGGTGACCTTCGATGTCGTTATTTACTCTAGTCCTTGATGACGATGATGATGATGATGATGATGATGATGACGCTGAATAATTGCAGCCGAACGTACGAAATTTTGTACAGGGGTAGTTAGTAACGTGTGCAAAAATGTTACGTTACGTTTTTATGCTTATTGAAGATGAGACCGAGGGGTAGCTTCGCCTCTTCGGCCCCTCAACGTAATACTTGGATGGTAACTGAATCCTGGCCTCGCCTCTTCCTTCCAGATCCCGTCCCATAATTTATTCACTAATGTCGAGTGGGAAAAAAACAAGGACGAGATATTTGTTAGACCGTGCCATAGCTCAGGCGGTTAGTCGCCGGGTTCCCTCCGCGGTGGCCCGGTTTCGAGCCCTGATCACGTCATATAGGATTTATGGTGGAAAAAGTGGGGCATATTTTCTCCGAATACTTGGGTTTCCCCTGCCAATTCTCATTCCACCAACTGCTTCACACTGCTGGTACAGTAAACTAAACAGTGGCCGCAGTACCAAGTGGCCTCAGCCTCACCACCATAAGGAAAAAGACCATAGCATATGGCTTCCTCTAATTTAAATTGCTGGATTTATGCTCCCGAAAGCATCGCTTTCCTCTTTACATGGACCTCTGTTATCGAATATCTATATCGTACGGAAGAACAGAGATCTGTTATTCCTAAATTTGGGTTGACACGATTGTTTGTGGCCCCTTCATTCCACGCTACAAAACCAATGATTAGTTAGTTGTTTCTGCAGATATTTTGTTTGGACGTGATTGTAGTATTTGGAACCCTACTGACTTTAAATTAATCTATAAAACACTGATTCTGATAAAATCGATGGTCTCTGTTAATCAAATATTTCCCAATTCCCGCTTTGTGAATTATAGATACCGGCATATATATTCATGAAACACAAGAGTTGCGTAGTTCTGACAGAAGCGAACGGTGAGCTTGTTTCTGTAATTCGCTTTCGTTGCGTTTCGAATATATTTCGAGCGTCGTCCTTTTTCGTCATGTCTGCCGCACATTTGCCCTCTCATATATTACTCTGTTTTCTGTGAAGTCGGAATTTCTTTGATCTGCAGCAGATATATACATACATTTAATGAAGCAGGATGGATCAGAAGTGAACCCGAGTTATTCAAGATACGCGTATGTCGGTTAGATGGAGGAGCAACATTACTCTGAAAATTCAGTTGACTTTCAACGGACTCTGAGTAGCACCGCTGGAAAAAACTCAAATCCTAAGATCCATTTGATGAATTTCTGTGGGAGGTATACTTTCCGTCGATAATTATCGACAGTCAGAACTTAAAGGGCTACGTATTATAATACGTAGCCCTTTAAGTTCTGACTGTAAAGAAACTTTCTACTGTTTAATATAAAGACCATGACAACATGTAAAGTGAAAGTGGATACGAAACAAAATATTCAAATATACAACTGTTTAAATATTGTACGAGGTGAGAAATTTCTGAGGAAACTATGAGACCAGCGATAAAATTAAGAGTGCGCGACGTGCTGCCTAAGTCGGATTTGTGAGGGGTGGCGAAACAGATTTACTAACAGTACGAGGTGGCCACGCCTAGTCGCTGGCTTCCCACCGCGGGGGCCCGGGTTCAATCCCGGATCTGGTCAAGTGGGATTTGTGGTGGAAAAATTGGCGCTGGGGCAGGTTTTCTCCGAGTACTTCGGTTTTCCCCTGCCAATCTTCATTCCACCAATTGCTCCACAATCACTCTCACATAGCATCTGGGGCTGGTACAATAGGCCAGAAGTGGCTGCAGTACAAGGGACTTAGTCCCACCCCACTAGCAATAAAAAACGATACGAGGTCATAAAGGAATATAATCACCCCTTGTGAGGTTCCAGACGTTTGTAAGAGAAATATAAAAAGAACCGTGGGAAATCAAAAAGATTAGAAACGGGAAATAAAATGGAGGTTGCTTAGTATCAGATGTGGCGACATCGTGTGGAATAACCCCTGAACGTGTACCTTGGCTAGTAGGCGTATTTATCATATTGTGGTCTGTAAGCCGCTTCAGGGGTCTACAGAAACATGACGTAGGTTGACAAATGCGAATAGAGAAGGAACTGTTTCAGTCGCCCCTCGACGCGAATTTCTGTCGAGTACCTTGTAATGAAAAGCAAATAATTCGGAAGTGAAAGTCTCGTCCTAACAACGTACAGTATCCGTTAAGGTCGTTGTGTGTGAAATTTGCACTCAAGCAAACGGATTTGGATAACAGTCTTTATTGAGTATTCTTAGCGCACGAGAATTTATGGGTTAAAACGCAGTACAGGCATTCCTAGGAGGCATTGCAGGTTCGGTTCCAGATCACAGCAATAACGCGAGTGACACGCATTTCTTGCTCTCACCGTGCATATAAAAGTTATGTTTACATTATGCTGCAGTGTATGAAGTGTGCAGTAGCATTATACCTAAACAAAGTACGTACCTTAATTAAAAATGCTTTATTGCTAGAAAATGCTACCCATCGCCTGAGCTTTCTGCGAGCCGTAATCTTTCTGCTGATGGAGGGACTTGCCTCGATGCTGATGGCTGCTGACTGGACAGGGTGGCGGTTGCTGTGGATATTCCCCAGAATAAGACAAGAGTGAACTTTGCAGACTCGATTGGCTGTTCCTTTCGCGAAAGATTTCTCTGTAGCATGCGATGCTGTTTGATAGCATTTTACCCATAAGAGAACTTTCAGAACTGGAGTCAGTCCTCCCAAATCCTGCCACTGCTTATCAACTGAGTTTGTGTAATATTCTAAATCTTTTGTTGTCATTTCAACAATGTTCACAGCATCTTCACCGGGAGTAGCGTCCATCTCAGGGAACCAATTTCTTTGTTCCTCCGTAAGGAGCAACTTATCATCTGTTAAAATTTTATGATAAGATTGCAGCAATTCAGTCACATCTTGAGGCTCCACTTCTAGTTCTAGTCCTGTTGCTGTTTCCGCCACATCTGCAGTTACTCCCTCCTCTGAAGTATGGAACCCCTCAGACTCAGCCATGAGGGTTGGAATCAACTTCTTCCAAACTCCTGTTAATGTTGATATTTTGACTTCCTCCCGTGAATTGCCTATGTTCTTAATGGCATTTAGAAGGTGAATCCTTTTCAAGAGGTTTCAATTTACTTTGACAAGAGCCATCAGAGGAATCATTATCTACTCCAGCTGTAGCTTTCTTAAATATTAAGACTCGGAACGTCGAAATGACTCCTTAACTTCAGTTTGCAAAAACGCGAAGCGCAATAAAGCGAGGTATGCGTGTACACAATGATGAAAGCGTCTATTCTTTGCCCTAAGTTTTCGGTGATGTTTCTCTTTTTAAAATGGAATGTAAATCATAGTACAAAATTAATGAAAGTAATGCGTATGTTTCTTTCTTGTGCAATGGTTTTAGGGTGATCAAGAGACGGTGTTCCACAGGCATTCGGAAGAGGAGACAGACGTCCGTCAACAAAGAGGGAAGGAAGATGGTGATCTTGAAGAACCGGCGCCTCCAGCATCAGCCCTGACTCGACGTCGTGCGCTGGTACCCCCAAAACTATTAACGGAGTGTGCCGATGAAAGGAAGTTGTCTGGGTAAGTACTGAGAACTGTTGTCGTTAGCACGCAACAAGGAACGTACAAAAATAGGTACAGGTGCAGTAAATCGAAGATTACTTGCCATAGAGATTGAGACGGCAGGTTCCTCTAACAATTTTATAATCTCCAACCAGGCTACACGGTGTCATAACCTAGAATACCGCAATCTAAGTAGGAATTCATTTCACGCTCCGCTCTCTCAGACGCTAAACTCTTCTTCTTTTGGCTTGTTTTGGACTTCATCCATCGTCTGGTATGTAAAAGGCCAAAGACCACGACGTTTCGGAGACTGGATCTGTCTCCGTCTTCAGGTGGGTTGGGAAGGATAAACCTACTCGGTTGGGCCCGTCAGAAAGAGCTAGTCTCAATCACTGGACCAGTGGGTTGTGAAACGTTGAGGGTCCCACAATTTCTCTAGACAGTCAGCTCACAGATGACAGTGAAGTCAGCCTTACGCTCCAGCCGACTTTTGCCCCCAGGAAAATTCCTGGTACTCATTTCTTTTAGAGGCTAAGTCGACCCGAGGGCCAAATTGCGGCTGGAAGGACTACGTGAATTGAAAAATCCAATGACCTCATCTGGAATCGAACCCGAGATCTTTCGGCTTGTATGTATGTTGTTTGTATGTCTTTGTTGTAGAAGCTTTCTACCTAGTAAGCCCGGTTGTGTAGCCCAAGTTTCTATGATATACGGGTCATAGTGTGTGGAAGGTCGCGTCATAGCTCAAGCGGTTAGTCGCTGGCTTCCCATCGCTGCGGCCCGGGTTCGATCCCTGGTCTGGTAAAGTGGGATTTGTGGTGGACAAAGTGGCGCTGAGGCAGGTTTTCTCTGAGTAATTCGGTTTCCCCTGCCAATCTTCATTCCACCAATTGCTCCACAATCACCCTCACCTATCATCTGGGGCTGGTACAATAGGCCAGAAATGGCCACAGTTCAAGGGACTTAGTTCCACCCCACTAGCTATAAAGAAAATAATATAGTGTGTGGATATTGGTATGATTTTCACACGATATATATCTTTATATGATCATACGTACAATATGGCGTATGTTTTCCTTGTCTGAGCGTATATACGTACTGTGTGTTCTAAAGTGTACGATGGTTCAGTATCTACACCGAATATGTCTGTTTGCTTAATTAACATTCAGTAATACGTAGACCCAACGAACGCATTTCACAACAGGCCGTAATCTTCCCACATAACGTGAATGCATCACCAGAAAAAATGCGTTTTTTCTTGCAAACTAATGTCTGTGAAAGGAAAATTGACATATTCAAGAAAAATAGACTGGTAGTTGGCGACTAAAGTGGCATGGGTCCAATTTATTTTCCTTTTTGTTTTTGCTGTATATGGATTTCCTTGGGCAATTATGCGCTTGTTGTTGTTGTTGTTGTTGTTGTTTCCTTGTTAAAGCAGCCTATATTTGTATTTGTACGGATGTCATGAATATTTAGTTTATCACAAGAAATTTTGAGGATAATTTCTTTTATATATAAACACTGACTGTTGGCATTTTCTCATTATGGTTAACCTATGTAAAGCAGGTTATAAATCTGATGTCAATTTTATCAAATATATTCCAGATTGGGTATTTTACATGATTCAGTTATGTAAAATTTTATGGGGATGTAATGAATATTTTAAAAATTCGTCCAGGTGTACACTTTATCCGATCATGTCATCTGAAATGGATTTGTACATCGTTACGACGAAAGAGTGTTAGACAGAAGGACATTTTATGTAATATTTCGAAAAATTCATACGATAACAGTAACACCCCAAGAAAGTTATCATCATGTGAAGTAAGTGCCTTTCACAAAAGGCAAACATACAATCATCATCATCATCATCATCATCATCAGTAATCTGTCAGACGACAGGTCCACAGTCTCTTCCAAAACAATTCCTCCACTTAATGCGATCTAGAGCTTTCTCCTTCAAATGACAGTACCCTCTTCTGTTCCCAAGGTCATCCAGCATCTTCTTACGTCTTCTTCCTCGTCTTCTTGTCACTTCTATCCGCCCATCTATCTTTCCTTCGATAGCTTCTTTTAGAAGGCAGTTTCTGCGTAAAACATGACCAATCCAATTAGCCTTCCGTTTTCTTATTTCATGTAGGATATTCCTCTGCTCACTGACTCTAATTAACACTTCTTCATTTCTCACATAATCGGTCCAACTGATCTTCTCCATCCTTCTCCAACACCACATTTCGAAACTTTCCAGATGTTTCTGATTTACTGCCCTAAGTGTCTATGTTTCAGCCCCATACAGAGCTATGCTCCAAATGTAGCATTTCACTAGTTTCTTTCTCAAATTTAAGTCCAATTTGCTGGTAAAAAGATTCTTCTTCTTGCTAAATGCAGCTTTTGCCATGACAATCCTGGATTTAATTTCACTAGTACACCTTCCATCATAAACAATACGAAAACAAAAAAAGGAGTGGGGTTCAAATTACCCGAAATTCGCCCCAAAATGACATTACAATCCCGCTGATACTAATTACCTAAAGTACATTCAATTCTGACTAAAATTAATTTCAGTTCACACACTTTAATAATTTCCAGGTCTGCTCTGTGTTTGACACCGTAAATGATTTGGCAAGTACAATTACCGCTCCATCCCCACTAGTTACATTGGGACGTGAGTAACGTCTCTCAGCGCGAAATGCGGTGTAAAAGCAGGGAAAGAGATTGAGGCTAAGGGTCGTGCAGTTCAATCATGTTTCCATAATGCAGTAGACATTGAACTCACTAATATAAGGGGCACGCGGTAGCGTTGTTGGTTGAGGGGCTATGTTACAAGTCGGAAGGTCGCGAGTTCAAGTCCCGATGAGGTCATTGGATTTTTTTTCAGTTGACCTAATCCTCCTCCCAACCGCACTGTGGCCCTGGGGTCGACTCAGCCTCTAACAGAAATGAGTACCAGGAATTAATTAAATAATTTTCCTGGGGAGTAAAGAGTGGCCGGCGCGTAAGGCTGACAACCTTACCGCCATCTTTGAGCCGATTTTCTAGATAATGTAGGAGCGTTCACGGCTTGTTACGCGGTAGCGTAGTTGGTTGAGGCACTATGCTACAAGCCGGAAGGACGTGAGTTAGATTCACAACTGATCTAATTCTTCCAGCAACATTATGGCTTTGAAGTCTATTCAGCCTCTGGCAGAAGTGAGTACCAAGAATCTTCCTGCGGCTAAACGGTGGCCGGCGTGTAAGACTGAAACCTCACCGCCATCTGTGAGTCAATTGTCTAGAAAATGTGGGAACCTCGACGTCTCACAATCCTTTGGGCCTCCACGGCCTGTTACAGGGATAGCTTTAACTTAATGTAAACGCTGCGCAAATAATCATAGCCTTTCATTCTGTGAACCTTGACATTCTGATACAAAAATTCAACTAAGTTCTTCATTTATTTACTTGTTTACTCAACAGCCCAAAGGCCAATTATAAAGTAAACACTAGGAAATATAAGAAAACAAGCACATAGGGCACAATAGACAAAAAAGAAGGCATGTAAGTTTTGAGGTTTTCACGGCGATGATTATGAAGAAAGTCGTCTTCTGGTTTAGGCGCCGTGTGTTCTTCGTTTTGGCCGACGTTTCGGAGGAACGTATCGCCTTCAGGGCAGTAGCTACTGCTCTCTGCATTCCAAGCCATTCACCTGCTCTGAAGATGGAGGCGATACGTTCCTCCGAAACGTCGGCCAAAACGAAGAACACACGGCGCCTAAACCAGAAGACGACTTTCTTCATAATCATCGCCGTGAAAACCTCAAAACTTACATGCCTTCTTTTTTGTCTATTGTGCCCTATGTGCTTGTTTTCTTATATTTCCTAGTGTTTACTTTATAATTGGCCTTTGGGCTGTTGAGTAAACAAGTAAATAAATGAAGAACTTAGTTGAATTTTTGTATCAGAATGTCAAGGTTCACAGAATGAAAGGCTATGATTATTTGCGCAGCGTTTACATTAAGTTAAAGCTATCCCTGTAACAGGCCGTGGAGGCCCAAAGGATTGTGAGACGTCGAGGTTCCCACATTTTCTAGACAATTGACTCACAGATGGCGGTGAGGTTTCAGTCTTACACGCCGGCCACCGTTTAGCCGCAGGAAGATTCTTGGTACTCACTTCTGCCAGAGGCTGAATAGACTTCAAAGCCATAATGTTGCTGGAAGAATTAGATCAGTTGTGAATCTAACTCACGTCCTTCCGGCTTGTAGCATAGTGCCTCAACCAACTACGCTACCGCGTAACAAGCCGTGAACGCTCCTACATTATCTAGAAAATCGGCTCAAANTGTTTTGTGAGTCCAGAAGCAGTTTCTTGTTTTGTGAGTCCAGAAGCGGTTTCTGAATGGGACTGCATTGAAGGCGATCTTTGGTTTCCTTCAGGAGCTCCAACAGCAACTCCTCGCATGCGCGTCGCAGTTCAATTGTGGTGATCCCACCGATGCAGATCTGTCCTGGTGATCTTCTCGTCTATAGCAAAGTACTCACACACCGGAACAATCTTCTAGGTAAGTTCAAATGCAATTGGAACGGAATTGTTTGCCAAGTATAAAGTTAGCCTTTTATGTCAGTCTGAGGGAGCAGTGGTTGATGCAAAGTTTATTTTCATGAGAGAATAAATGTCGGTATGATGCCAGGATGTTGCCTGGACATTTTTATTTCCTGGAGTAATGTCTGGCTAAAACATCTCTGAACAAACAAACTTACGGATTAAAACGCCTCTGTCTTCAACGAGATCTCCTGCTCAGCCATTCTGGGTCGTGTCATGCCTTAAATATATGAACTGAGATCAGTTGTGTTGATGGTTTTTAAAAAGGTAAAATAAAATTTTATTGATTGATTGATATATAAAATGTAAGAGAATGCACCAATTAAAGTTAATTTAGTAACTTCATTATAATGAGGGGCACGCGGTAGCGTAGTTGGTTGAGGGGCTATGCTACAAGCCGGAAGGTCGCGGGTTGAAATCCCGATGAGGTCATTGGATTTTTTTCAGTTGATCTAATCCTTCCAGCCGCACCAGGCCCTGGTGTTTACTCAGCCTCTAACAGAAATGAATATCAGGAATTAATTAAATAATTTTCCTGGGGAGTAAAGCGCGGCCGGCGCATAAGGCTGACAACCTTACCGCCATCTGTGAGCCGATTGTCTAGAAAATGTGGGAGCCTCAACTTCTCACAACCCTATGGGCCTTCATGGTTTGTTACAGGGATAGCTGTACTTTTTTTTTTTTGCTTTTACATAATAATTATGTAATGATCTGATCATTATCAATAATCTGATCTATATCTGATGATGAATCATCGAAAAAGTATATTATACAAGCAACAGGTGTCTGTTTATAGTATTTCGTAAGTTACTTCTGGTTCCATCTTCAGGAAAGAAACCGCCTTTTTAACAAAGTCTGTCTTTTTGCAAGGCAACTAATCAAACGGGGCTTGGAATATATATACATATAGTATATGTACTTGTAGTACAAAGTATTATCTTCTCTTTCCTTGTTCTTCACCTGAAGAACCCCCAGATAATTTTTTCTTTTTGCGGTCTTGACATCAGATCGTCCAAAACCTGCGGTATAATAAATCTCATGAAGTGAAAGTGACTTTGTTTTAACTGTTGTCCTGGCAGTCAAGTAGTTCAGAAATATTAAGAGTACCCCATTCTTTAAAATGAGTGCCCATAAAGCCCCCCCCCCCTTTTTTTTTCTACTGTGGAAATCACGGATTAATTTCTTGGTAGGTCTAGACTTATGAAATATTTCTTTTATCTCAAATAAATCTCCAGTTGAGATTAAGGTGTCTTAGGTTCTGACGCCGTGAAGTAGGCATCGAGGTTTCGAAGATGCCTACTACCTCAATTTCCAGGGTGTAAGTTCGAGACAGCATGCCCCTCCAAAATTTGGTTCCCCCTAGTAAGCTACGCGGAGTCACGTCCCATAAGACCGTACTCCTAATACTGACCGGTCGTGAGAACAGGAAGTCTTTCAGTAAATTGGATTGGAACTTTGTGAGCACCCAGAATTACACTGATCACCTTGTACAGGAGCAGAGGAAGCTCATGTATTTAATGTTCCTTCTAGACGAATTCTGATCTAAGGTTCTATAAATAACAAACGCATTTCCCATCACATCTACAAGTTCACCAGAAGTCGCCCCCTCAAGGTACCTCGTAACTTGCTTCTCACCTAGATCTGGTAATACACTTTCTTGTCTCGCTGTATGCCAGCCATGAATTATTTTATGCAATAAACGTATAAAAGTGTTGTATTTCTACATTTTGGTTTAATTTTATAATGAATCGTTCCATTAGTAGAGCTACAGAATTGGGTCTAAGCATGCGAGGGGCTGTTTCAACTTCCATAGTATGCATCCTGTTGTGTCCTTCAGAAAAATGTAAAAGTCAACAAAATTGAAACCGAGACGAAATAGATACTACGATATCAACATTCGTTTATTGGCGCAGATATTAAAGCTACATGTTTCGACCTTTCTTTAGGCCATCTTCAGGCATTCATGAAACAACAGTATCCATATTAATGCTTCAGCATTAATGCTAATAATTTTTTTATTGCTAGTGGGGTGGGACTAAGTCCCTTGTACTGCGGTCACTCCAAGTATTACACATAATAACTACGTATAAACGGGGTTTGGATTGGTAATCCGATATATTGCACATTTTTGCACACGACACGTAATTACAATTAAAGTTTAAGCTCTCACTGTACTACACACTTCACAAATCACAATACGACACACTAGGTCTTCTGAGTCTGTTACAGTCTTCACTAGCCGTTGCTTGGCAGCGGCTTCCAACGGCGGACGTTTCCTTTTCTCTAGGTTGCCGAAATATCTCTGGCCTCAGCTACCAGCTTCTCACAGCAACATCTCAGAACAACTGAAATCTAGTGGTCCTATAACTCAGTAAATCAGCAACGAACTCAGAGTTAGAGTTACTTTACGACTGGCGGTTTGCCGCCAATCAGTTCATCTTGACGACAAGTTCCTTGCTGATCACGATCAGAAATCAGAACCCTTAAGGTCATATTCCTTATATAACATTCTCTCTGGCAGGATGATGCGTTTGTCTCTTCTGAATATGCTTGGTCTTTGTCAAGTGAGCGTGCCGCACATGTAGCGTGTTATTGAAAATTCTTCCTTGTGCACTACACACAAGTCCTCTGCCAGTCTAGGCTTTGCAAAGCAGATCAACTCATTAACTAGTCCTGTGTATAACATCTCGGCGCGTACCACGTAGAAAACACCATTCCTGTTACAGAGCAGTTGTTACCATGGAAACATGCATGTTTACGGAGTTTACTTATCAACGGTTGTTGTATAGCTGCTTATTTCGCGGCCGTTGCCTAGCAATGGATCTACGTGCTAATATACTTTCAAATAAAGAAAGAAGTTAATATCTCGAAGAGTAACTTGATATCGTTGTTTCGTTATCACATACTTGCTTGATCGCAAATTTCTTTTGTACTCTGAGTAAATGAAATAGGTTAACATTTCTCATTTAACTCTGAGAGGACCTTCAGATAGCTTGGAATGTTACGTACCCTTCCCATACCCGAAGCTTATAGAAAGGCATCCCTGATTCACAGATGGCTAGGTTTAGCAGCCATAAACAGCCGAATGGGCTTACTGAAGGTGGCAGACGAAGCATTGTCGACTATCTTCTCCAGTCAGCATGTGGAGTACAACTGAAACACGAAAATAACATTTTTATTTTGTTTTTCGGCGTGTTAGCCATGCTGATATGATTAATTTCAACGCTCCGCCATTGCCTGCGTAGCTTAATAGTCCACGTACCTGAAGGAAAGTGCCAGGAAGAATGCGATGGTGACAAGCTGCACATCTGCACAGTCTGATATACAGGGACACATCTCTGCTATTGCATACCTGCAGAGTCGCACATTACGGGCATACCTCAGGGATACTGCAGGTTCGGTTCCAGATCACAGCAATAACGCGAGTCACACGAATTTCTTCTTTCCCCGTGCATATAAAAGTTATGTTTACATTATGCTGCAGTGTATTTAGTGTGCAATAGCATTATGTATAAAAGCAATGTAAAAAAAAAGTTAAAGTTGTGTTTGTGCATAACTAATTAAGCACTACGCCTTTAAGGAGTATGTGGGAGTGGATGTATAGATCCACATTTTCTTGACATCGGCATCAGATGGAGGTCACTACCGCTTTACCCGCTGGAAGAGACTCCTTGTACCCATTGGCTGGATCTCACAGTCGGTTTAACTTTAAGATTAGTTTAAAAATGAAATAAATAACCGAATTAAAATGTAACGTAACTAAACATTAGTGTACTTGTCCCTATACATCGTTGTGTTAAGCAATTATGCTGTGCATAGCGTCGCGTCGCTCATTGTATGTGGTGTCATTAGATCGATTTGTCCTGGTCATGTCTTCATGTTGCTACTGTGGTACTTTATCCTGGGCGCTGACTATGTATGTTTATTCTCTCGTCTGGGTGTCTGTCGAGCTGATGTTCTTCTGTATTATTGATTATATTATTCTTGGTTTTTGGTTTCCTTATGTTTCGTTACGTCCTTATTTTCCGTATTTGTATGTTGATTCTGATTATTGTCACAGATACCTAGTTTCTTGGGGGCAAGCGGTAGCGTCGTTGGTTGAGGCACTATGCTACAAGCCGGAAGGTCGCGGGTTAAAGTCCCGATAAGATCATTGGATTTTTTTCAATTGACCTAATTCTTCCAGCCGCACTATGGCCCTGGGGTCGACTCAGCCTCTAACAGAAATGAGTACCAGGAATATTCTTGGGGGTAAAGGGCTGCCGGTTCGTAAGGGTGACAACCTTACCGCCATCTATGAGCCGACTGTCTAAAAAATGTGGCAACCTCGACATGTCACAACCCTATGGGCCTCCACGGCCTGTTACAGGGATAGCTTTACTTAACTTACTTTACCTATTTACTTTATTCGTATACCCCGTGTCAGTATCCATTCTGTTAAATATAGTGGTGGAATCCGACAGTTGTCAACAATGTCGCGGCAACAGACTTCCTTCTTACCTGTGTTTTATTGAAGGTGCAGTGAAGTCTTGAGAAGGGAACATGGAGTTGTAAGATTTGAGGTTTTCGTGGTGGTGACTGTGATAAATGCCTTCTTCTGGGATGTGGCGCCGTGTACATCTTGTGTGAACCGACGTTTCGGAGGAACATATTGGCTCCATCTTCAGGGTAGAAAAATGGGCGAGTGAGACCAGGTTGAGCAGGTGGCTGCAGTCTGCAGAAGGGACGGAAAGGACGAGTGGAACGGTGTGTCGTTGTCTCGAGAAAACCGTCTGCAAAATTCTATCGGGACAAGTGTATCTTTTAGAAGCGTTTCAGTTTCACTCCGACCAGTATGTACGGCCCACGTTGCATTTTTGTTGAAACGAGAGTGTCAGCCTCAGAAAGTGTTAAAATATTTGACACTGACAGAAGTTACAGTACTCGTCATTCTTACACAATTACGGCAAAATCCTACAGTGTTATCACGCCAACAGCGGAGTCCAGACTTTTTCCATTGGGGAGGTGGGGGGCTTCTTCTCACTTGAACCTACTGTTAACATTTTCTTCTGTAATTGGATCAACGAGATAATTTGACCACTGCATTCTTCACGTCTGTGTTTATACAGCCGGATATACATTTTCTATGACATTTTATTATTTTAATTAATTAAAATTTCCTTCTTTCCGTATTATTCAGCGCTAAGAATTCGCGTTCTGTGCTCACTACAACGTACACTCGGGCTACGACATTGATGACTGAGGTTGAGGCTTTATTATTTCGACGACGGCATTTCCGGCTGCAGCGTTTGTTTTGTGCGTTATGCGCGATAATTCTGCGACGCAACAGAGATGTCTTTTTTTTTAGTTACAATAAATAATTGCCCTGTTTGCATAATAAACTTGGCGCACTGTAAACAAGGATCTGCGCAGTAAGGAGGATGAATTGGTTCCGTGGCCTTCAATGTTGTAATTTCGTAACGGTTACTATTGTTGGCTTGAACTCATTCAGAGTATGCAGTGTTTGTAAGCATGATTCGTTTACGTACGATATCAGTTCAGCTACACCCAAACATTCTGTTTTAAGTATCAGTTCTTCGCCCTCTGTACCGTTCTCTGCAATAGCTACATGTCACTCGAATCACCTCGCTGTGGAAGCGCTCGTAAACCTATCATTGTTACAGACTGTGTGTATGTTGCGGTTGTAATGAAGCGATTGCTACAGTGAAATTAACCCATTTTTTCTTGACCAAGACCAAAAATAACGATTCTCGTCATTAAATCCAACTTTACTTGTTCCTACCCTTCGCTTCTACTGTGTTGGATCAAGTCTCTAAAAGCCCTTCAGCCTGTATAAACCCAGATTAATTACGGGTGCCCTAGCCTGAGCACACCAGCGCCACTAGAAACGAAATATAGTTGTATAAGCGCAAGTTATACGAGAAACAAGGCCGTACACAACATCGGGTCATAAACCGAGAATACAAACCAAGATCGGATAATTAATTGTGTTTCGTGTGAAGTGGAATTTCATGCTTTTGCTATGAAGAGAACTGTGGGTCTGTTCAAGGCCCCCTGCACGCTCAGTTTTTTTAACTTTGCAAGGCCACTTCACAGTTAGAACTGAAAGTGTGGGGAGAAATCTGTAGTCTTCAGTTAAAATTTGCGGAAATAATGAAGTGTGGCTGGGCATGGCACGTAGGTCGTACCGAAAGTCAAGCAATTTTTTTTTGCATGCAACATGGGAACAGCAGACGAAAGAGAGTAGGGTGGTAGGTGGAACCAGCTCTTGTGTTAACCTTGAGTGTCTTGTGACGTCAATAGCTTGCATCACGTGACCAGTATCACTCCTAACAAAATGGCCGACAACGATATGTCGTTTCACCAGCGTGTTGTCATCGAATTTCTTGTGAAAGAGGAAATCCCGCTGCTGAAATTCACCAGAGACTTCAGCGTGCTTATGGAAGTGTGTTCATGGGTGCGAGCAGTGTTCGAAGATGGGTGAAACATTTTAAAGATGGGAACACTTAACATCGAAGATGAGCCTCGGAGCGGTCGTCCTCGAACAGCCTCAACTGAACGGAACAGGAAAGAGTGGATGAGATCATTCAAGATGACAGGCGTGTGACTGTGGACACAATAGCCCGAAAACTTGGAATAGGGCACAGTGCAGTACAGGAGACGATTGAAAGCTTGGGCTATAGGAAAGTTTGTGCTCGTTGGGTCCCGCGATTATTGACCTTAGAACACAAAGGTCAGCGAAAAACCATCACCTCAGAACTGCTGCAGAGATATCGACACGAAGGCGATGATTTTTTGCTCTGTATTGTGGCACATCACGAAAGTTGGTTTCACCATTTCGAGCCTGAAACAAAACGGCAGGCTATGGAATGGTACCATTTGCATTCTCCATCAAAAAAGAAAGCAAAGACAGTGCCATCAGCTGCGAAGGTGATGGGGACAGTCTTCTGGGATGCAGAAGGGGTTATTCTGGCCGAATTCCTGGAACTTGGGCAAACCATCAATGCTGCTCGTTATGTACAGACGCTGCACAAGCTCCGTCGTGCATTGCGCGATAAACGTCCGGGACGAAGCATCATCCTGCATGACAACTCTCGCCCCCGCGCCGCTCGCCTCACATTGGAAGCGATTGCAAAGATCGGGTGGGAAGTTCTTCCACACCCCTCCTATAGCCCTTATCTGGCACCCTCCGACTACCATCTTTTCGGATTTGTGAAGGATCAGCTGCGTAGACATCGTTTTGAGACAATTCAGAAAGCAGTGCGTCAGTGTCTTCGGATGGCTGGAACGGAATTTTACAGAAGGGGAATTTTCAAACGCCCAGAACGCTGGGAGAAATGTGTACAAAGAAGTGGCGATTATGTGGAAAAATAAAGAAAGATCTGTAGATTGAGGTGGTGTATTTGGTTTGTCAATAATAAAGCATGTTACTTTACAAAAAATTGTTGCTCATGACTTTCAGTACGACCCTCGTATTTTATAACTGTGCAGTAAAAATGCACCATCTTGGTACGTTTCTCACAGAATTAACCGAGTCGTATCTTTTATTTTTGTTGTGTTTTTACAAAAATCAGGAAGTATTTTTATTGTTACAAGTGCCACTTTTTGTCAGTTTTAAATTATGGCTAATTGGTCAAAGGAATTTCTTACAGAATTCGTTGAGTTATATCGGAGTGTAGAACGCGTTTGGAATTTAAAATCAATGGATTTACAGCAACAGGTTATGATATCTTGGTCACGAAAGTGTAAACTTTTGACAAAGATTCAAGCCTTGACACAGTTATAAAAAATAATTAGCCTTCTTATTACTGTAAATTTATTTTTCTTTCCACAAATGTAGCGATAGCGGCGTAACATATTTCCTCAGTTTGACGTCATTACACAAATTACAACGTTTATGATGTGGCAAATGTTCATAGCGAACTGAGCACAACTTAACATTTTTGTACATGCGCAGAGAGAAAACTGCCCCGTTTCATACTGCGCAGGCGTCCAGTTACTGCCGGTCGGTCAGACATGTTGATACTTAAGTGTTGTACTAAGCCAGAGTAAGAAGTGACTTATCTAAATCTTCCTTGTTTATATTCATTTTTTTCTTCTTTGCCAGTTGAAAGACTGAGTCATTGTCCATTCGGAGACCAAGGACGAGGGCACACCAATCTCCTGTTTCGACGTCCTATCCGTTGGATGCTTCAGAAATGCTTGCGGCGGCAAACGTTGTACATTATGGTTCCAGTTACCTTTGATATTGGGCCGCGCCATAGCTCAAGCGGTCAGTCGCTGGCTTCCCACCGCGGCGGCCCGGGTTCGATCCCGGGGTCTGGTCAAGTGGGATTTGTGGTGGACAGGGGCAGGTTTTCTCCGAGTACTTCGGTTTCCCCTGCCAATCTTCGTTCCACCAATTGCTCCACAATCACCCTCGCCTATCATCTGGGGCTGGTACAATAAGCCAGAAGTGGCCGCAGTACAAGGGACTTAGTCCCACCCCACTAGCATTAAAAATAATACTTTCGATATTACTGAATTTCTTCACCAATACACACAGCAGTGGTCAAAGAAACCTCATTGCAGAGTCTTCTGTTCTCTTATCGTCGTCTTTTGGTGCTCACGTTTCAGTACTGATGCGTCTTTCTGTTGCCTTACTGCGCTTACTAGCTTTAAGACGCAAATAAATGTTATGTAGATGCCTCACTATTCGAAGCATTTATCTCTAATTATTATTCAAGGAATTCAGGAGATAATGTGTGACAAGCAATACTGGCAGAAAATTTATTTTGTTGCATAAACATTTAAATCTGGTTTTCTGAACTTGGCACCTTTTACGTGTTTTTGATTCTTGAATACGGAGAACTGCTAATCCTCTACTAAATTTCAACGGTAATCATTTCACAGTTAGGAGGAACAGATCATTCGTGAATGAAGTGTATAATTTTAAGCACAATTAAAAGCAAAAATGGAAGTTATTAATCGGCCACAAATTATATGTACGCTGATTGTTAGAAAACCCCCCCCCCATTCTTTGTCCATTTTGTTTTTTGTTGTGTTTGCGTTTTGAACTTAATTGAATTCATACCGTAATGTGTATTATCAAGATAATTTTTTGGTGTAGATGTACAATCATAAGAAATAATCTTCATTTGAACTTAAGAATTCGTAACACCCTTTCCTCCCTCGTCAAAAATATGAGGAATGCATTCTTGAATTAAATTAAGAGTTCATTCAAATTAAAATATGACCATTTAAATTAAGTTCCAACTTGGATAACACTGTTCATTAGTCAGAGAAACGTTCACTAAGTACCGCTCGCTTAAGAAGTAGAATTGCCATCTATACTTAAACACATTTCTCGTTTCAGATTTGGATGGTTCCAGCACCAGTCTAGCGGTATCAGATACAGGTAAATAGCAGTATTTCCTTGAGCACCTTTGTTTCCTCCTTTTCAAAGAGACATGAAACCGAATGTGTTTAACAGATCGTACTTAGCATTCAGAGTGCCTCGTGTTCAAATTTTCGCCCGGTTGATAGCAATACTACTAAAGCTCTCTTGCTTTTCCTCAGTGCTTCCAGATAGTGCCAGGATATTATTTTCAACTATCCCACGGTCGTTCCCTTTCCACCACATACCCAAACACTCTTTACATACCCAAAAGTTCCTACCATCGACGCCAGATCGCCCATTCGGTTGAAAGTTGTCGTTGTGTAAACTGATTTTCACTTAGATTCGGTTTTCAACTTAACTGACTTCATACCCTAATGTGTATTATCAAGATAAATTTCTTGCGTAATTGTACAACCGCAAGAAATAATCGTCATTTGAAGAAAGCGACTGGCTAGGGGCTGGACGGCCTAGGGGTCGGAGTTTCTAGTCCCAGTAGGGTCAAAAATTTTATCTTCTCCACGTCGTCCAGACCGGCTTTGGGTCCGCCCAGCCTTATATCCAGTGAGTATCGGGGGCCCTTTCTTCGAGGATAAAACAGCCGGGACGTGAAGCTGACCACTCGCCTCCAACTAGTTTTGAAGTAAAGAAAACCTGGATCTATATATCCACTCCCCCATACGCCTTCATAACGTAGTGCTTAATTAGTTAAACACAGAGATAACTTTACCTGTTACATAAATTTTACTTTTCGACGCTCAGCACAAGACGATATGCAGTATTCTTATGCTTTGAGTAAGTTTCAGTCGAACTTACTTTGTTCTGACCCTTCATCTTTGTTTATTTACTTTAAAATGTAATTCAACACTGATATGTGACCTGGTCCGAATATCACAGTTCCTTGGAAGGCAGACTCAGTGTTGACTTAATGTCACCTGCATGTGGTCTGCTCATTCATACACTTCTACGAATAAATCTCGAAACTGCGTTAGTATGGGTACAATAACTTAACAGCATAATTATAACATTGTTCTAAGTTCAGTATTTAATTTATAGTATAACGAAATTGTTACTAGTTCTAAGCATACGGCGTTATGTTCTTTAAAAGTCTGCAGGCAACTGCAGTACTTATATTGATTTTAATCTCTTCATAATTTGGACCTGGGAATGGCTAAAACTCGTTTCAGTAAATATTGTGGAGATGTACAGAAAATGTAATAATTTTTATACATAAGCTATCCCTGTAAGGCCCCCCATACACACACAATTTGGCCTCCCGTTCGGTCTGTACAGTTCAAGGCTGAAAGGCAAAACTGATGTGTATGGTGCGGCCGGCCGGCCGGCCAATCGTTTGGACTGTAGGAAATCCGTCAGTCCGTCAGTTCTACCTGCAGGTCGACCGGCAGGCCAAACTGTGTGTGTATGGGGGTCCTAACAGTCCGTGGAGACCTTAAGTTTGTGAGAGGTCAAGGCTTCCACATTTTCGAGACAATTGGCTCATAGATGGCGGTGAGTTTGTCAGCCTTACGCGCCGGCCGTCCTTTACCCCAGGTAGATTCCTAGTAGTCATTTCTATTAGAGGACTTTTCTACATACTGAAAAACAAAGTAAAGAAAATATTGTGCGAACCGCGCTCTCTTGTATACTGCTTCCTGTTTGCATCGCGAAATCAGTGACCTTTCAAATGTCTAACAAAACATGACAAGCATATCATAACACGAAGTGCCCTTAAGCGACTATTCTAAAAGTACAATAATCTGGAAAGTAGAGTTCGGAAGAAGGTAACGGAGGTTTCGGAGGAACGTACTGCCTCCTTCTTCATAGTCGAATAGTAACCTACGAATGTAACCAGAGCCGTCTGCTCCTTACTGGTTATTTGCTTGCTTTACTTTTCAACCCTGAATATGGAGGCAGTACTTTTCGCTTAAGCGTCTGTGAAGGCGGACTACACGGCGGCACAACCTATGACATAGGGGTGCTCTTCTCCTAGAAGAGAGAAGATCACTATGAGAATCCCACATCCTACACAGTATATTCTTGATAAAGCAATTATTGCACTTCCAAAACTAATTATTTGCATTTGATTTCCGAAGCTCGTTACATAAAATTGTAATTTCTTTGAAGTATGTTTCTGTCTCTTTCCAGATGGGGTCAATTCCAGAAAGGGAAAGAACACGTGGTCGTTATTAAGACTTGTAAGTAGCGCATTGTTACAGTTCTCAAACTCATGTTTTATTTTTTTTATCAGGAATTATGCGGAAGTGATTCATTTATAAATGTCTTTTAAATAATCATGAAGTTTTAAAATATGATACAGAATGTTTTAATTAATTTATATTAAAGCCTGTTTTGCGACTGGGAGCCGGGATAGCGCAGTCGTTATAGCGACTGGCTACGTGAAGGACGTGAGGAGCCGTGACAGCCCAGTCGTTATAGCGACTGGCTACGTTAAGGACGTGAGGGGCCGGGACAGCGCAGTCGATATAGCGACTGGCTACGTTAAGGACGTGAGGAGCCGGGACAGCGCAGTCGTTATGGCGACTGGCTACGTTAAGGACGTGAGGAGCCGGGACAGCGGAGTCGTTATAGCGACTGGCTACGTTAAGGACGTGAGGAGCCGTGACAGCTCAGTCGTTATAGCGACTGGCTACGTTCTGGACATGAGGAGCCGGGACAGCGCAGTCGTTATAGCGACTGGCTACGTGCTGGACGTGAGGAGCCGTGACAGCGCAGTCATAGCGACTGGCTACGTTCTGGACGTGAGGACCCGGGACAGCGCAGTCGTTATAGTGACTGACTACGTGCTGGACGATCGAGGGGTCAAGTTCGAGTCTCGGTGCGGTCAAGAATTTTCTCATCTTCACGTCGTCCAGACCGGTTCTGGGGTCTACCCAACCTCCTATCCAGTGGGTACCGGGGGTTATTTCCCAGGGCATAAGGGGGCCGATGCGTGGAGCTGACCACTCACCTCCAACTACTGTCGAAATTAAGAAAACGTGGATCTATACATCCACTCCCCTATACGCCTTCATGGTGTAGTGCTTAATTAGTAAAGCACAGGGACACTTTTACGTGACCTTACATCTATACGAAACTAAGCTAAGAAACAATACAAAGAAATATAAACAAAATTCACAGCGCGTTTTTAAATGAAACGAAATTACTTATAAGTACCAGAAGTCTTTTCTGTGCACTGAGAACTCAGCCCCGGAGTTAAAATTAACTTTTATACTGGAGCCAGCTTCAGGCATACCGTGAGATACAGCGATTGAAGGGGAAGGTTAAACTGTAATACACATGCTCGCAGCATAGAACTGCGTAGTTCTGGCGGTTCGAGAGCTCTTGGAACCTAACTTCCGGCACTTGAAAGTAGTCGAGAGAAGCCGGATTTGTTAAGCGAAAATATAACGTAGAGTACTGCACAAAAATTGAGGCGGTAAAATTGTTGTGGAAACTTGTATTTGTGTCACTATGAACGCCTTCCTGTACATCTATATATATGGTACAGCTTTCGAAAATATTTTGAAAGGTCTCTGCGACATACCTAACTAGTCCAAGTGATTGCTGTCAAAATCACTGTTCTCGACTGGAACTTAATCTGAGTCAGTACTTACTTGAGAATGGACAGGTTACAGCATGCAGTCCACTGGTGGGAACATATATAAGAAAGGAACACAAACATGGACGCCGCAAAAGGAAGATAGCGCAGGAACAAAGAAAGAGTTTTGGGTTCAAAAATGTATTTTAGTGGGAACAACATTAATACTATAGAATTGAAATACAGAGTGAATCCAAATTATTGTCGGTGTTTTCATGACGTATAATTTTTAACCGGAAGCAATAAAACGGAACTGCTAGTGAAATACGAAACAGAAAGTAAAAAAATAGGCCGCGCCATAGCTCAAGCGGTTAGTCGCTGGCTTTCCACCGCGACGGCCCGGGTTCTATCCAGGGTCTGGTCAGGTAGGTTTGTTACGGAAAAAGTGGCGCTGGGGCAGGTTTTCTCCAAGTACTTCGGTTTCCCCTGCCAATCTTCATTCCACCAATTGCTCCACAATCACCCTCACCCATCATCTGAGGCTGGTACAATAGGCCAGAAGTGGCCGCAGTACCCCACTAGCAATAAAAAAAAAACTAAAAAGTATCATCATTTGAAGAACATACTGTAGACTGCTGAATGACGTCACCATGCACCTTCTTCGGAACACGTAAGATGTCCAAGCGGTATTCAATTTCCCTTTAAGTTTCTCCAGCATTTGTGGTGTAACTATAACTGTAGCTGCAGAACACTAGGACTCTCTTGAAATTGCTTTAACCAGCATCGGATACAATTATCTGAAGGTGGATCTTTTCCATATTGAGTTCTGTAACGACGTTGCGTTTCGATAACGGACTTTGTTTCGAAAAACCCAAAGTATGCACGTTGCTTTCTCTTGAACAGTCGTCACTTAGAAGTATGACGTCATATTTTCTCCCAGACATTAATACTGCGAGTACACGATTGTTAAATAAAATACTTTGAGTTACTCCTTCAAGTTCTGTAAGCAGTTTTGTTTTATTATTTTCGATTTGAAAATTATAGGCCACGGAAACACCGACAGTAATTTAAAATCACTTAAGATCTAGTACGGTGAGACTTATTTTTTTTTTTTAATGAACAGTTGCTCTCAGTGGCCAAGTAGGACCGAAAGATGTAGCAATTTAGTATTATTTTCGTTTTATTTTAAATGAAAGAGAGATTGCGAACATTTTTATTAACACGAACGGCAGAAAAAAAATGAGAGTGGTATATCAGTGCAACAAGACGATCAAATAAAATATTATGACATGCAGACTTCTCAAGAAACTTAAGAACTGAGGTCACGGTATTTTTATGGCTTGAATTCTGTTGACGTTTGATTTTTCTATCTTGCCTCCAGGCATGTTTCGGTCCTTCATTTGCTGGGAAACTCCACTGAAAATTGTCTTTGATCCTCTCAAGGAAACGAATAGAAAACTGTACGAGCCTTGCTTGTGTACATAAAGGCACAGAGAAGTGAACTTCCCCACCCTACTATATTCACTGAGTTGTTTTAAAATATATATTTTGAAACCAAAGAGCCCGTTTTATTTATTTCGCTTGTCAGTTTAGTTTTATTCCTGTTTATTTCCTTACCAGAAAAAAATAAAAGTATTTTTTTCTCGAAGTAATCCGCTAACGGACCGCCTCTGCGATCTAGTGGCCAGAATTTCTGGTTACAGATCCAGAGGTCCGGGTTCGATTCCCGGCGCTACCAGATTTTTTTTTCTGAGAAATAGTGGCTCTGGAACGGGGTTCATTCAGCCTCATGAGGGTAACCGAGGAGTTACTTGAAGGAAACAGCGGCTCCGATCTGGAGAACCGAAATTAACGGCCGTGGGGATCCGTTGTGCTGACCACGCGACGCCCTCTATCTGCTAAAGTTGGCACTAAACTTCACCGACAAGCGACGGTCGCTCGGTCGATAGAGTTCGCTTGCGGACTAAAATCACGGAGTTTATTTTTGTTTTGTTTAATCCGCTGATGTTCATAGAACCATTATGGTAGGACTCCTTGGGCGGGTGATCAGCTCGTCGCAAGGCCTCTACCAAAACACAGGGCAACACAAACACAGAATAAACGCATACACACCAAACATCCATGCCTTGTGTGCGATTCGAACCCATGATCCCAGCTTCCGAGCGAGCGAAGTCAGTACATTCCTTAGACCGTTCAGCTACCATGACCGGCTCTGCTCATTACACGCGAAGTATTCTTTGTTTTGATGATGACCTGTGGCTTGCATAAGAGACATGCTGGAATGCGACACCCGCCCGTTGCTAATGAGAGTTGTAATGAGGGAATATAGTTAAGCTTATGCCGAGTGGCAGAGATCCTGAATTACTAAGGGACAACTTGTTCAGACAGCTGCACTGTATGTGGGCCCATCTGTCGGCTTGATAACCTCGGTTCATGCGATTCATGCTGTCTCCCAATATTCCTCCGAAACGTCGAAACGCCTACAAGACTACACGGTATCACGACCCGGAAGCCCACAATCCGAGGAGTCAAGTTTTATGCTCGAATTTCCTTTGTCACCCCAGCCACTGTCCCTGCTGTTCCACTCAGCCTATGGCCAGTGGGTGTGGGAGGGGGTTGAATGGTAAGCCAAACGTTTCTGTGCACTTGACTGTAGACAATGAGGACATTCAGAGAGCCCCTGTACAGCAATACAAATATATGTAGCTTGTACAGTTGTTGGCTGTGTAATAGGAGAATAAACAACGGTGTTATGCAAACCGTTTCTAGCCTACGGGTCGGTAAACACGTTCCCGCGGCAACGAATACGAACACAATATAGTTATTGGTGGAAATGGTGTCTTGTTCTCGGTCTGTGCAGAGTGATTATAAGGAAGACCGTAGCCCTGCGAGTCGTAGGAGGCGACGAAAAGGGAACCCAGTTTCTGGGGGTATAACTGGGCCACTCTGTTCCTAGGGGATGTACATATATATGGGGACCTGGTCCTCCAGGTTGGGAGAGTCCCGAATCAGAAACAGTAAAATGTGACGAGTCCCGCGGGACTCGGACCTGAGAATGACTGCAATGGCGAGGCGAAGCAGCAATTGCAAACGACAGACCCATCCTCTCGCCACAGAGGATATTACATAAGCACTATGACCGCAAGTGTTCAATTAAAGTAAAGCTGGTCGTGAGTCTCAAGGGGCTTGTCGCTAAGACGAACTGATTGGGAGTAAACAGCCAGTTATAAAGTAAGTCTGACTCTGACCCAATGAGTTATAAGTTGAGAGTTGAGTTCTGCACAGGAGACTGTGAAGATGGGACCTTAGGGCGGGAAACTGAAGAATCTCCACTGTCAGAAGCCGTTGTCAGGGAACGGCAGATGAAGGAACAGTAGGCTGGAAAAGGGCTTAGAGGCCGCTGTAGTGATTTGTAAAGTGAATTTTTGCATTTCGTTATCCCTGTTTAAATTAAGTCGTCAACAATCAAGCCGACATCCATAACAGCATGGCGGAGTTGCTTTCGTTAAAAATAACACCGTGCAGCCATTAAATTCGAAGGCTGCCTAATCTCAAGGTATCTGGACTGCATAACTACTGCTAGCTGAACTGCTTTTTGGGTTTTATAACGTTCGTAAGAGTACAATAAAATTCAGGAACCGGGATAGCGCAGTCGGTATAGCTACTGGCTGTGGGCTAGACGATCGAGGGATCAGAGTTTGAGTCCCACAAGGGTCAAGAATTTTTTCCACGTCATACAGGGTGGTTCTTGGGCCTACCCAGCCTCTCAGCCAATGGGTACCGGGGGGCTGTTTCCTTGGAGGTAAAGAAGCTGACGACTCACCTCCAACTAATGCCTAGGTCAAAAGACCTTGAATCTTCACAGCTACTCCCCCATACATCTTCATGGCGTAGTGCTTAATTAGTTAAGAACAGGAGCAACTTGACCTTTGTGCAGTGAATTTCGTCTGATTAGTAATTCAGTCCCGGAGCAATACCGCAATTTTTACGCGCACCGCTTCATGCGCGCCACCTACTTTCAGTGGTCTCAGACTTATTTTGGATTGCTTTGCCATGTATGGAGAATTGCTTTAACAAATTTTGGAACACACACAGTTTTGTGACGAATTTACTGATGTCATATCACGAAATAAACTTGGACAGGATTATTCTATATCTAACATTAATACTCTCTCCTAATGACTTGTACAGTTCGAGAGATCGAACCGCGGGAAAGTCGGGAGTCTTTGCGGCTTGGAAGAAGTCCTCAGTTGCATGCAGCGCATTGACTTCGATGACGAGCAACTGTCACGTTATCGTGGGATGTGCTGGACTGAATTTGTCGCCCATGTGGAGAAGAAGAATAGTGGTGCTGGCAGTAGTAGCAGCAGCAGTAGCGATTCCAGTTTGGTGTCCAGCCCAGAACCACCCCCTCGACCGGTGTCTCCACCACCTGTCGTGACAACACCGCGACGGCGTCTGAGAGGTGCTCTGGTGAGAGCCCAAAGTGAAAGGTGCTTTGAGAGGAGACTTACTGGTGCAAGGGCTATGTGGCGAGGGTTAGACAGGACGTTGCCTACGAAACCTAGCCCTCTGGTGACAACCCTCAGTGAAAAGGACCTTCTGGTGTCACCAGGTTCAACGACCAGCAGAGCAGAAAGTAAGCGGAGGGAAGCTGTATGGGATCTTTTCCAGAGCGAATGTGCTTTCTTGTACGATCACCTGATGGTACTAAAAAATGTGAGTACTTTCCTATTTGTGTCTGTTCTTATGTAATCACATGAACGGTGCTCTGAAATAGCTTGGACTAGGTCCAAGAGAAGGTGTTTGGTAATGAATCTTTAGCATACATTCCAAGAGAAATTTATTTCTTTTCAAATAACATAAATAAGCAGATCTCTATGTGATCAGTTCGTCAGTTATTCAGAGAATTAGAAAAAGAGCAAGCCAGCTTTAAAATAAGAATCAGCATAATAATTTACGTACTTTTAAGGAACCCAAAAGCTAATCATGTTTACAAAAGCCTGCCAATGAATCCTATTCCAAGCTAGTTCCATCAGTTATTCAACTTGCTATGCGATTTATGGAATTCGGTTTCTGATATTAAAACACCCATCAATATAAACATTTTCCTTTTGCTTTTTTGACTAAACATTTGAGGTATTTCTGTTTTTCTAGATTTCCATTACATATGGCATCATTTTCAACCTCTCTGATTTAAAAATGTTAAATGATGAGTACAAATTATAAATCTTGTTTTTAATTGTCTTTATTCATTTTATGCTTCCCATTCTATAGGCCTCAAACACACCTGACCAAAGTCATTCTTGTAAATGGGTCTTCTTCACTTCAGTTTTGTTAGCATGTCCCATTTCACCATGACTTTCCATACCATCTGGCTATAGAGGAAGGAAAATCACCATTATGCCGGTCACGGTAGCCAAGCGGTCTATTGCATATACTGTCTTCGCTTGCTTGGAAACCGGGATCGTGGGTTCGAAAGCCACTCAGGGCATGGATATTTAGTTTGTGTGTGTGTGCATTTTTCTGTGTTTGTGCACAGGTAGAGACCTTGTGACGAGCTGATCACACGCCCAAGGAGTCCTACCGAATGTGTAAGATCTAGAAAAATCGAAGTGAACGGAGAAGTTCATGGCTGTAGACCTAGGCCCACTGGGGCTGTAGTGCCAAGGAGGAAAAAAAGTTACCATTATGGAGGGTAGTTGTGAATATATTCATTAACCTGTCCAGGAGAGCTGATAAGTGTTGATTCTCCAATTTGTGTGAGTGACTAACAGCTCCTCATTGCAGAAGTACAGAATGATATAAATGTTACACAGAGAACAGGAAGCTTGGGTAGATTTTTTGGAACCTTGTAAGCAAAGAAAAATTGAATGCCTGGTGTATGTATACAACAGATTTATTTAAAATAAGAGCTAGGAAGCTGGCGAAGTATAAGTTAGACTTAGAGTAAGTGCAGAAATTCAAACAGGACAAGAATGACACTGAATCATCAGACAATTACCCATATATGCTTCTGTTGAAGTAGAATGATAATCATCACTTTGGGATATGCTGTTTCATATTATCACAAATATGAGCACAGCCTAATCCCTTCCACACAATTTCTTCTCACTCACTTTGGACTTCCATCACCAGAATTTGACCCAATTCTCGACAACTCTATACTGCTCCCTTGGAACTTCTTGTTATGTAGCCTTGGGGGAGACATCACGGAGAACACTGTTTTTATTGTCTCGTATTGTTTTAGGCATGTTTACTTATCTAAAAATTAGCAACAGATTTTCCTGTTCTTGTGTTCTTGTGTGTGTTGCCTCCCGCGGGAATGTGTTTACTGGGTCAATGCCTAGCAGTGGGTCTATATGTCACAGCATATAAGGAGCTTAACCATATTAGCTGTTCAGAGATTAGAATTTGTCAGTGATAGGATGTCATATGTAATACTGAGAAGTCACATGTGTACTGTTATATTTCAGATATCATATGCTCAAACTAATGCAAGAAGTATGCAGAAGAGAGATTTTATGAGGAACTGGACTTTTCAGTTTCCTGTTTCAATGCAAATATAAGGGAGAAGAGATTTTTCAATATGCTACTAGAAACAGGCGTTCGATCCCGGGTATAGTCAAGTGGGATTTGTGGTGGACAAAGTGGCACTTGGGCAGGTTTCTTCCAAGTACTTCGGTTTCCCCTGCCAATCTTCATTCCACCAATTGCTTCACAATCACCCTCAACTATCATCTGGGGCTGGTAGAATCGGCCAGAAGTGGCCGCAATACAAGGGTCTTAGTCCCACCCCACTAGCATTAAAAAAAATAAAAGTTGGTTAGGTGGTAAGAAAGTCAGTCAAATCAGTCAGTTAGTTACCTGGTAAATGGCTGTATGGTTTTTCGTTACATAAGAGTTCACGCTAGTAATTAATGAACTGGTGGTCATTTCAGATGGTTACGATTTTCATGAAAAAGTATCCATGTTATTGTATCTACCAAACTACATTATTCCATGTCCCAGAGGATATTAATCTTCATATTATGGTAAATATGGTAGGATAAAGATGGCACATCTTGTTCGTTGGGTGGACGGTTAACTCACCAGCAGCACTGCAGTGAATTTCCTGAGTGTGCAAGAATTAGATCCCCTATTTGATCATCAGATGTTTTTCCCACTTTCTGTTTGTTACAGGTATTCATGGAACCACTTAAGAAGATTCAAGTAGAGGGATTTGCAATGTTTGCTGAACCAGAATTGCTCTTTGGCAATTTGGATGAACTCTGTTGTGTAAGCCAGTATAATGTTATTGAAGAGTGTGATTAAAAATACGTACCTAAAGTAGGAGGAGTATTCAATTAAGCTTGTCTTTTTGAGGCTCTCTGTTATATGATCTATTCAGTACAGAGATCTCATCCAACTCGTGAGATGAGAACATGTGACATCATGTTCATTTGAAACCTTAACTGACTCATTCAGGAAATAAGCCTCATGCATTCACTCATTTGTTATAAATTTGGCACAAGTGAATTCTGAACCGTTTATATGGTGGATGTATTTTATATGAACAACTGTATAGACAAATTTCTGGGCCAAATTTGACTGGTACAAGAAAAATACAGTTCTATTCTTTCTAGGAACTTCTACAGCCACAATTTTGAAAGAAAAGCACACTGGGGAAGTCAGTTAAAACTCTATTATGTATTGCAATTGGTTTATTCATAATCGAGAAGTAATGTATGCTGTAGTCATGTAATTCACCTCACAGAATGTGAAAGCTGTAGAATTGACATATTACAACAGAATAAAAATGTCAATTATGTAATTTCTGTTACATCCCTTGCATAAGAGACTATCTTTTGTTATAATCATGTGCTTTATTGTGATCTCTTTTTTGTTGGCTTTTAATACTGCCACATTTATTGAAACAGTAAAAAGGTTAAGGTTTTGGATGAGAAACATAAGATATAAGGACTTTTAATTATATATTTTCAGATTCAGATAGACTGTATTCTTATTTTCAGGTAACATATGCATTCTGTAAGGAATTTATCAGTCTTTTACTCGAAAATGTTGGCGCAGGAGGTGAACTGCCAACTATAGATGTCTTAGTCAAATTATTCCAGAAGGTATGTAGTTTCTTGGTGTTAAAGTATGTTTCATTAATACTAGGGGGTTTAATGATTTCCATGGTTCTGAGTGACCATCAGTATCACTTTGTCTGTATAACCTGATGACCTACTCATGCCACTCACTTTGAGGCATGTTCTTCAAAGCATTTGATATTAACCTATAAGTTCACAGTTCACAGACTGTTCTTGTAGACATGGCCTCTGGGTTGCATGGGAGGAGAAATGAGGATCTATATGGCAAGAAGTTGCAGGGAAAATAGTTATAGTTGCATTATGGGAGGGAGGGACAGACCCGTTGACCATGTACTTATTTTTTGTCCACCATAGAAACACAGACCACCAAAAAACAGGCAGCACGTAGCCACCAGTACAAAGAACGCATATGCGCATAATATTTGTCATTTGTCATTTATTTATAGTTCCAAAAAATCCATAGAGGCATCTGCCTCAGATATAGAACAAGTCAATAATACAATATAACATATAAATATACATACATATTCAACATTATATCAAAGGATAAAGTAAAAATTTAAAAAAACATTCCATATATATAAGCCCAATTCACATTACGCCATCCTACCTGTAAATAAAAGATACACCTATGTGAAATTAGATAAATTTTAGGAAAACAATTATTTTAAAATAAGTTTCATTAACTTAGATAAGTATTTCAATACATTTAAACAATTAAAACTTTGTAATCCTAGGTAAAATTAACTCATACATGAGAGGGCTAAGAGCAGTGGATCTGTTGCGACATGCAGTCCAGTAATGAACGTTAATGCATTTTACCATTTATATAACGCCTAGTGATGGTCACAAATGACCAGAAGATGTAGAGTAAAATAACATTTTATTGAGACTAAATTATTTTATCGACGTTCAAGCCTATCACTTGTTTGTTGAAAGTGTAGAGTTGTGATCAATGGAGAATTAACATGGCAGATTCCCTTAATTCTAATGCAAGTTAGCCATAACCGACCATCAAAATATGGATTGGCCCTATCATCTTCGAGGAACATCTGAAGTCTTGTCTCCAGAAACATGCCGTCATTAAAAGTAACAATTCTTTCATCAGGAAGTGCAGACAAACATTATTCCAAAACGAATATAAATGTTCCAATTAACTGACCTCCATTCGAAATACACCATAGTTAACTGAGAGTCGATACTGGAAACTGTTTCCAGTGTCCCTGCGAACATTACATCAGCGGACCAGACACGAGAATTTTGAATGTTGTTAATTCTACCTCGATTTATATGTGCTAAAGTTCAGCAATATACAAGCATCTTTTGGCAAATCTGAAGACAAAACCTTAATTAATTGACTGAAGAGCTTATATAACCTTTCAAAGAAATGTATAAGAACCATCATGAATGATGGTATGATATATAGATTGAGTGATCCATTGATTGATTTTGTGAAAACATACACCAATACAATAAGAGTCTGACTGTATCACAATGCAGTATCAAACTTGACTCTTAGCAAAGATCAAAAGTGAAAATCAGTAGTGACTACAGTAAAACCACCAGTGCAATTCTGCAATCGAATTCTGCAAAATGTTAACTGAAACCATCACTTGTTGCCATCTCTCAAATTTCACAATTAGTGGAATCTGTTTTTCTACATCTTAAAATGACTTTATCTGCAAATGGTACCAGTGTTGCATTAATATATTTACTCTGCAAGTACAGCAGATGAGTCATGAAATAGCCTGTATAAAATCTCCATAACAACTTCAAATATACGGTAAATTTCCTTTTACCTGAAGAAAGCAGTCTTCTGGGATGTGGTACCGTGTAGATGTGGTGTTAACCGACGTTTCGGGGGAACGTATCGCCTCCATCTTCAGGGTAAAAGGAAAAATAAGAAAATCAGCAAGCGAAGAGACAGTGAGAACCGGTGCAAGCAGACTGTCTCTTTGCTTGCATATTTTCTTATTTTTCCTTCTACCCTGAAGATGGAGGCGATACGTTCCTCCGAAACCTCAGTTAACACCACATCTACAAGATGCCACATCCCAGAAGACTGCTTTCTTCATAGTCACCGCCATGAAAACCTCAAACATTCCTTTTACCTGTCTGGTAACATAGCTCCAGTGAAATACTAATATTTGTCACATGTTTTCAAGTATAACAGATATTATGATGGTCAAAAATGTTTACATTTAACACTTATAAGGTTAAGGTTTCAGTTCAACAATTTATTGGAGTTATAATTTGTCCTTTTTCAGAGTTCCGAAGCTGGCTCTGTGTCTCAGGCATATCACTGCTATGCTCTCAATTACATCAATGCATTGAATTATCTGGAAACACTGAGAAGGCATGTGGAATTCTGTGAATTTGAGAAGGTAAGTAACTTATTGTCACTCAATGTGCAGAAGGAGATTGGAGGATAACAGTAAGATGTATTTCGAAGAAATCAGTGATGAGTATGGAAGGTTGATCAGAGTGGGTAAGGATTGTGTCAAAAGTCTGGCTTTGGTGTTAATGCCATTGAAGTGCTGTACAAAGTATTGTAAAAACAATGGAGAACACAGAACGCCGATGAAAAGTAACATTTGCTTATAGCAATAGAGTGGCTTTGTGAAACGTTTTATTTTGGGAAATATATCTGTTTTGAAGTAAATGTGAATCATAGAAAGGAATCTTATAGTGAAACCTCCATTTCACATTTCTTAAGGGACTGCCTAAAATAAATATAAAATTAAGGAAAGCGTAAAATTAGGGAAATGATGACAAAATGTAAAGAAGCTTTGTGTTTCTTTATACCATAACATTGTAATATAATTTAAGAAAATACATGTTTGAACACTTAACTATGTATATGTAGATGGAGAAATTATTCTTGGTTCATTTTATGATTTTTAAATTCACATGTTGGGAGGGTTGAGTCCAGCTGGGTCCACTCGGCATGTTGGCCACTGATTGGCCTATTGTACCTGCTCCAGGTGATTATGATGATGGAGAATTTGGTGGAATGAAGAGTGGCAGGGGAAACCGAAGTACTCAGAGAAAACCTGCCCCAGTGTCACTTTGTCCACCACAAATCACACTTGACCAGACCTGGGCTCGAACCCGTGCTGCTGCAGTGGGAAACGGCGATTAACCGCTTGAGCTATGGTGTGGCTTTTATTTAATGATTCTTTATCAACTGCTGTTCTTATGTGGCATCAGCAAGATGAAGTGGTAAATGGAAAGGATGAGGAAGAAAGTGGTTGTAGTTTCAAGGCACTGGATAGACTGTAAAATATGGTATATACCTAGTTACATTATTTTCACCCATTTAATAAGAGTAGTTTGTGTCTTTTCTCCTCGAGCTCTCAGTCTGTATAATTCATTTTCAACTTCATGCACATTATATTAATATTGTTTTCTATATCAAACTGACACATGTAATTTCTTGCTGCTGCCAATTCTTTCTCTAAATCAAAGAATATTACTTTATATTCTGAAACTTCCTCTGCTTCTTCTGATCTCATCAAATGTTGGTCTAACACTTGGTCAGTACTCTGGATTCTACATGTAGTCCTCACACTACATGCCATGAATATGTAAGCTGTGCCAGTCACCCTCTTCATCTTCACTGAGTTTCATTGTGCAGTCATGATCGGTCAAGAAACCAAACTTCACAAAGCAGCTCTCGAATGTAGCAATTCTTATCAGTCTCCAGGCTTCTGCTATGAAATTCATTGCAGACAACACAGCCAGATTCATCTGTGTAACATCATAGAGCTGTCCCCCATCTATCATGGCTGTAGTCTTCCAAATCAGCTGCTTTCTGTAATAGCATTTGAATGCATGAATAATTTTCAAATCTAAAGGCTCTAGCTGGGTGGTACAGTTAGCTGGGATGATGATGCTGAGAAATTTGCGTTTTTCAAATGGGCAGTGCACTAACTACTCAATGAAAAGCATGATTTTGCAATTTTGTGATAAAATATTGATTATTAAAGCAATGACTATTTTCCTTGGCACTTAGTGTGGTTGAGGCACTATGTTACAAGCCGGAAGGTCACAGGTTCATGTCCCGATGAGGTCATTGGGTTTTTTCAGTTGACCTAGTATGGAAACAAAATATTGACCACCAAACTGTAGAAATCTATAGTACTTAATTCCGCAAATGTGACCTCTATTAAAGTGGTGCAGCAGAGACCCACGCTGCAAGAAACTACAACTCACAGACTTGCTTGTAGCTCCAGTACAGCACATCATGAAAGTGCCACTTATCCTCAAAGAAGTAGAAACACGGACTGAGGACAGCGCAGAAAGGGAACAGATAACGCAAATTCTAGAAGTTGAAGAGAATTCAATAAGTAAGTATCTTATTTGTTCAGTGATGAGTGACTAATATTTTTCAGTGCAGTAAAATTTTTAACATCTCAGATATTAAATATATATATATTTTTTTTAGTTTTATTAATCATAGTGCCATGTTTTTCTCGGTGCCAATGTTAATGACTGGAATGAATTGAAGGTATTAAAATCTGATTTGGCCTACATTCATGCAAATTTCAGTTTCTTATCGTTGTCAGTAAGAGAGTTGGAAAAGACCACAAACTTGTTGACAGAAACAATAAAAGGAATCATCAGCACTGAAAAGAAATTTAATACATTAAACAGCTCCGAAGCTGATGCAGTAAAATGAGAAATTCAATCACATAACAGCAAGAATAAGGGATTTAAAGTCCTTTGCAATTCAGAGTGTCCAGATGAAAGGAATCTAAAATGAAAAATTTATATCTCGGAAAATAATTGTCCTACATGTATCCGGTTTATGTTATCAGAAAGGAAAACTCTGATAGCTTTTTTCATGCCCAGTTTATGCACATGCGCAGCCACATTTCTGCCACCATGTTAGAAATCACCTGGACAGAGAGATGGCTGGGAGATGGATTGGAAGAGGTAGAGCAATTGCTTGGCCTCCTAGGTTGCCAGATTTAACCCCACTGGATTTTTCGTGTGAGGTTATATGAAGAACATTGTCTACCAGGTTAAAATAAATGACCTTCAACACCTGAAAGCCCGCATAATGGAGACTGTGGTTACTGTAACACCAAAGATGCTTCCAGCAACGTGGAATGAGGTCGAATATCGTCTGGATATTTGTCATGCCACCAAGGGAGCACATATTGAAATTTACTGAGAAAGTGATATACTTAGAAGGAAACTTTGATAGTTTCCCTTTGTAATGGTGTAACCCATAAATGTTTATAATAAATGCTTTCTGACATACAATTAGTTTATTTTGGATACCTTTCATCCGGACACTCTGTATTTAATGTGTCATAGAGGAGGAAGATCTAACTGATTCAGAAAACCTGAGAGGTTGGTGATATTGTATGCAAGACTGGTGTCATGTGATATGGAACATACATTTTCTTGATTCAAATCACTCTCCCATAATAGCAACCACAGATTTATAACACAACGGCTGTGACAAGGTGCAGGCAGTTAGTTGCGAGATTCCCGATGCGGCTGCCAAGTTTTGATACCATGTCAGGTCATGTGAATAACTGTGGCGGTCACAGAGGCAACAAGGGAGGTTTTCTTTGAGTACTTCAGTTACCCCTGCCAATTCTCATTCTGTAGACTGCTCCACATTCATTAATAACCCTGTCATTCAGTACTGTAAAGTCTCAATACTGACAGCAATCTTAATGAATGGACTTAAAATATTATGATGCACAAATATAAAGTGGCATTTGTGCTTTGCTATAACACTTCACATCCTGTATGAGTTACTGAAGGCTTTTAGCGAGTACATTGTGAAATTGTGGGTATTCTTTTTAAAAAAATATTTTTTTTTTTAGGCACGTCTTTACTTCAAGGCACATAAAAATATTTTATGATTTCATACTACCTAACTATCCATTTTCAGGTGATTATATATTGCATATTGCTGTACTTCATTGATAATTTTCTGTTTGCAAATCATAAGTAAAAACATATATCCTGGAAGACTATGCTGTTATGAAAACCTTTTTGGAGAAAAAATATTAAAGGCCTTTTGTTATATAATTTATGCATAATATCATGGTGCGCTAAACACTTATTGATACCCAGTTTTGTTTTACAGGAGAGCTGGATGACAAAATGAAATGGCTCAAGAATTTTGAACGTCTTTTAGAAATACAGAGGAACATCGTTTGGCCCTCTGTATTTGAATTAGATCCAAAGATATATGTTCCTGAATTTTTAAAGCCAGCTCTCACAAGGCAGCCATGTGATCGAATTATAGTGAGTCCTAGAAGACAGATAATCATAGAAGGTCCACTTCAAATCTGGGATACAGGAAAGCCACAAGAAATGTTTGTTGTGTTGTTTGATGACATGCTCCTAATTACACGAAGAAAAAAAGGGCTATCCAAAAAGGTACAGTGGTTCTGTTTATATTAACCATAGTTGTTAATTAAAAATTAGGATTATATGACAACATAAATGGCAGAAAATATCTTATCTGTAACAGTTTGTTTATGAGCAAAAGTAACTTAAACATCAGATTAAGAGCAGTGCTTATTTCAGTTCAGTGCTGTAAGAAATTTGGTGAATGAATAAGAAATAATATAGTTTATTCCTTTTATACAAGTCATATATTGTGCAAAGCCATCTATCACATCTACACATGTAATTTACTTTCTAACATCATTGTATGTTCTGGACAGACTTCTTAAATTGAAAGAATATAGAAAGTTTATGCATTTGTAATTAGAGAAATTTGAAATATTTGAAATAAATTCACCTACCCATTATGTGAAACAGGCATTTGAATGGGAATTATGAAGTATCAACTATTGTCAAATGTATGAAGTGACTATAGACGGGGTTTGAATTTGTAATCGGATTTATTGTCCACTTACAGATCGTAACTACAAGTAACAATAGAGCTATCGCTAATTCACGCACTCTTCAATTCAATACAGCATGCACGAAGTCTTTTCAGTCTGCTGTGTCTTCACCATATGTTGTCCGCTAATGGTTTCCAACAGCACATGTCTCCCTTACTCTGGGATCCTGAATTATGCCCATGCCTCAGCTACCTGCCTCTAAGAGCAGTGGGTCCCAACTAACGAACTGCAGCAGTCCTCTTAACTGACTGATTGCTCACCAGCCAACTCACTTCACTCCACTGTACTCAACTGCACTGCACTCAATAACTCAATTGAACTCAGTTGATTCAGTCATATTGCCTCGGAGAGGACCCACAGAGAATGCCGGTTACAAAACCTCTTCTATTGTTGCGTGAGGTCACAGTGTATGTGACGTGTTCCCCTACTACCTCAGTACATGCCATTGCCTAGCAACATGTCTACATTCTACACTGCTCCCTCCTTAAGGCTATTTGTCCCGAATATCCTACAGGCATACCAACATTTCTTCTTTTCCCAAGGACTTTGCTGGCGATGTCTCTGATCGGCCTCGCCTACCTTTCCCATGGCGTGGGTCTCATAGTGATTACTTTCCCACTACCCCCGCTGCTACATCCTTAAGGTTGCTCATCCTGAGTGGCTCTTTGATAACGTGCGGTCCGGTCCAGGTGCACCACAACCATCTTTATTCTTTTCCCAAGGTTGTACTTTTGGAAGTCTCTACTTTTGTGTCGAAGGGTACCAACCCCTCCACAATGTTCTGTCGCTAATTTCTCATAACCCTATGGAAATCCCTGCTACTCACTTCACGACCTCCAGTCCGAAAGTCTGTCTGACAGCCTTGTTGAATGCCCAATTGCCTCCGATGTCTCTTCTCGAACGTCCATCCTTTATTGGTTCTGTGTACAGCATCGTCCTTGCACGGTCAATGATGACAGCATCCCTCACTCGGTGCAGGAATGTCACAATGGGTTATCTGTCTGCAGATGGCCTCCATCTTCTTCCTGGACCCACAATCTCCCTGGGTCCATTTCTTATGCTGTCGGCAGCTCCCTATGGATAGATAGGATCTAGGATAGATGCCAGATGCCTGTATTGGTCCTCCATTGATCGGATAGTTTACACTGAAACTTCTTTAGGAATATCCAGATGCCCTGCTACTACTTCCATTTCTTCCAGGCCAGCTTCTGTTATCTCTGGGTAGGCCTTTGGCTTATCTCGACAGGCATCCAAAAAGACTTTCACTTCTTCTTTGTTGGTTTCCAACGTTTCTTGATTGAAAACAATTTTTTCTTAAATACTATTTATTTTAGCCCTTAATTTGACTTCCATTCCTTCTTGGTTGATTCCAATGTCAGCAGGCCTGCCATCATTTATTTCATCTTTGCAGTATGGCCATATAACTTGCTACAGCGGTCTCCAGTCCATCCCACTTCTGACACCAGCTGTCACATGTGTGACTGACTACAGATGGTGTTTGGATGGGTAACTGGATTTATTGATACTTATACACACAACAAGTAACTATAGTGCTATCTCTAATTCACACATTCAGCAGTTCACTACAGCACAAATTAAGTCTTCTAAGACTACAATATCTGCACCAGTCTTTGCTTGTTGACGGCTTCCAGCGGCGGACATTTCCCTCACTCTTGGTTCCCGAACTATGTCCGTTCCTCAGCTACCAGCTTCTAACAGCAACAGCTCATAACATAAACTCAGTTCTCTGACTAACTCACTATCTTACCAGAAAACTCTTCACCTTCCTTCACTTTGCTCAGCTGAACTTGGTCAAGTCATGTAGCCTTGGAGTGGACCCACGGGGAATGCTGTTTGTAACATGTCTTCTACTGTAGTGTGATGCCACCCCGTATGGATGCAGTCCTCTTCTGTGTGTGTGTGTATGGACCATATTACTACAGAAGATTCTGATTATTATAAATTAAATAATTCCATACCATAATATTTTCTTGCGTAGTTAATATTTTTATAATTTCTTGAGAAATCCCCTCTTACAGAATATAAAATTCTACAGAATGAGGACAAAAATATATATTAACATGTCAATATATGTTTATTGTACCATACATTACCAGAGTTTTCATGTGTCTTGTTAGATTGCATTTTATGAAGGTGCATTTACTATTAAAAACAAAACCAAACTGTAAAATATGGATCCATATTAAAGTAATTCAATTCAGGATATTACATAGATTGATATTCTTGTGACTCACCTGATGATGACATATGAAAAGCCGAAACATGTAGTGCAACGCCTGTGCCTAATATAGAAATGTTGATACGTTAGTATCTACTTTTGTCTTCATTCTGTAGATATCATTGTTCTGTTGATGACCCCATTTGCTCTATTTTACACACGCAACAGAACATATACCATAAAGAAAAGAGACGTGAAATTCATCACAATATTCCACTACCCGAACCTGTCCCGAACCACTTCATATTTTCTCAAGAGTCTAACTTAATAGTTAGGTTGGCAGATACAGATACAATATTATAATTTCTTCACAGAAATCCTCATTGTCAGAGAACTGGGCAAGTTCCTGCAGTCGTGGCTCATCGGCATCAAGCGAGTCTTCCATGCGATATGTTGTGTACAAGCAACCACTCTCCTTAGACCGCTTTTTTATCCACGATGTTACCATTCCTGAAAGTGCATCATGTCGCCTTGAAGCCGCCTTCGTACTAGTCAGCCTCAATCGGTTCCAGCAAGTTGTAACAATCCACACTTTCCAAGCGCCTTCAGATCAGTCGAAGGTATGTTGTATAAATGTATTCAGTATGTAGAATTTGAAAGCATGAAGTTTATGTATATAAATGCATATGGTTGTGTCATGAGCTCAGGGATGTTTGAATGCAAACATTAAATGTAAAAATGTTTACCTCACTTCTACCAACATCCCCCACACCCCATTCGTTGATATATGTGAACCCATTTTACATAACTTATTAATTCTTTAGAGTCATTTAAATGGAAATAAATTTTACATTAATTTAAAGAAAAAATTTGCAGGTATCCTCTAAAGTTTAAATAGCATCAAAATAATGTATATAGATCATATATATGTATGTGTTTGTTCATTTAATGTAAGCAACAATATTTTATTTGTAATTCACAGTAATGATTAAAATGAGTTTATGTGTTGGAAGCACTGTAGTATGTGACACCACTGTTGTATATATCTAGTTCATGTGAATGTACAAACACATTGGAAATACAAGTCACTAGATTCTGTTATAAACACAGAATATCGTCAGATACACTTCACGTGATTTAAAAGTTAAAGATACAGAGCATGAATGGGTGGACTGCATCGTGACAGGATTCAGTAACCTGCCCCTCTGAACATGATAATAAGCCTGCAGTTCCTGTAAAAGTAGATCACCACCACCCAGTGGGTTAATTCCAGTTTTCTGTAACCTGTTAATGGTGTGGTAAACTATAATAAAGGTTATCAAAATGTTTTCAAAAATGTGAATGGGAAATAAAATTTGAAAAATGATACAGATTTATGGAATTTAAAAAGTACGGAAACAATTTTTAACTAGAATCATGGTACTCCTATACAGCAAATAATGTGATGAGTTTCTTTGTATGAGGCTGTAAGGGATTGCAAGAAAATTAACCAATTAATATTTTATTTTCACGAAAAATGTATCTTTTGTGCAAGTAATTTGACTTCACAGACATATTGTTTGCACAAATAAAATTAAAAGGGAGACAGTTATAGTGAAGAAAACAGAAAGTATTGTAGTACTGTGTTCATTACAGGTATATGAAAAATTGTATAAATACAATGTCAGAATATTCAATTAGTCATAGCAAAGAATCGTAGGAGTCACTGTCAGACATGATGGAATTCAGGCCTCACACACATAAAAAGAATGTATACACATGTGAGTTTTTTGGATCCATGCATAATGGGCACAGACAGTGATGTATGTGACATGGTGGCACAGAATGTTGTAAGAGTTCAGTGATCCAGCACAGTAATAGACAGCTGTGTCACAAACTGCTTTGGATGTTGAGAAGAATACAAACTGGTAATAGCCAAGCTTAGTAGAATTCAGTGACCAGGCATATTACACTTAGATCTCCATTTCAAACAGGCATTGGCTATAGAACAGAGCACTGATAACAGCCAGGCTCAGTAGACATTTGATTTTTATTGTTTGCATCTTTTTGTGTTAAAAATCACAATTCTGGAGCCATTGACATAATGGTGAAATGAATTTTGTTGAAATATATTAAGAGTAACAAAAATGTCAATGGTTTAATCAGACCTGCTGTCTCATTCACCATCTACATATTTCAGTCATATAGGCTGTCAGCAGATGATTTGTAAATAAATAAATAAAACACATCTTTATTGAATTGCAGAATGAAATGCATCCATTTTTACAGAGAAAAATGTTGTAATAATTGTTGTATTAACTAATGAAATATATTAAATAAAATATATAAAATATTGTGATTTTTAAATTGTTAATTGGGTTAAAATAGACTTGATTAAACATGTTGAAGGGATTGCTAATTGTTGTAAGTGCAGTACATGTCCAGTTTTTGGACGGAGTAATTGTATATCCACTCATAGTTTAATATTTTATGTTATTTGTGAGTCTAGTCACTTCTGAAGTTCACTGAAGTAGTGTATATGTAACAGGTCGTGTGGGGGTGTACAAGTTGTATTATGCTATTTGATGAAAAATGTTGTATATAATTGGTGTGACATAATATGCAAATATGTAATTGTTGGTGTGGTGTCTTGCAGAAGTAATGTATCCTCGATATGTGGTGATGTGCAAGTTGCATCACAGTTTTTGGTGTGGGGATATGTCGTAGGTTCAAAGTACTACATGGAATACTCAGTAATTTTTATCTACAAAGTTAGTTGATGTCTGCTGTGATGGGTCTGGAATGCAGCTGCTTGGGGTGCTGCATCCATCTGCATCCCAGACACATCACTTTGATCTGAGGTTCAGTAGTTTTCAGTGATCCAGCAGAATATACTTAGCTAGCTGTCTAAAACTGGCATAAAATGCAAAGAACAGAAACAGGTGACAGCTAGACTCAATACAGTTTAGTGACCCATTGTAATATACTTACATCTCCATTTTATTTTGGTATTACCTGCAGACCACAACACAAACTGAAACAACTAGACTCAATAACGTTTATTATTCTAACAGCAAATATTTAGCAAGCCATTAAAAAGTGGCATGAGATGCAAAACACAACACAAATTGATTCAGCACAATAACCAAGAATGTGCAGTTTTTTAATGGTACAATTTTGTAAAGCCCATGGAGTTTGGCTTCATAATTGGATTTATTGTACAGCTATTCACAAACCTACAAGTATCTATAGCAGCTACACTGATTTACACACTCTATAAAGATCACTATAACTGCAGCACACAGAGTTTTTATGCCTTCACTAGTAATATCTTGGTAACGAATCCTGAGAATATCCACTGCTTATGTCCTTTCCAGCTGGGGATATCCCACAACAAACTCGTTCAAAGTCAAAGCCGAAGTTACTTTACAACAGGCAGTTTACCACCAATCAATTTGTCTTTGAGTCAAGCCTCTTGAGACCCATGACCAGAAATATTTCCCCAACTGAACCCTTGCAGTATTAGTCTTTGTGTAACATCCTCTGACAAGAAGATTGGTCCATCTGTTGTGGATATGTTTGGCCTTTCATCAAGTGTACATTTCGCACATATAGCATGTTACTGAAAAATTCTTGCTTTTGCACAGTGCACAAGTCCTCTTGTCAGTACAGGCTTTGTAGAGCAGATCATGCCTATCTTACGTATCTTATACTGCAGCTGCAGCCTAGTCACTTGAATGGTCATAAGCTTGATCAAAGTCAAAGTCATCGTCAAAAGCAATGTTACTTTACAACTGGCGGTTTACCGCCAATCAGTTCATCTTGGTGCCAGGCCCAGTAATGGGTCTACATGCTACATTTCTCCCTGCTTAAGGCTATTCGTCCCGAATGACTTACAGCCATACCAGCTTTTCTTCTTTTCCAAGCATTGTGCTTGGGACGTCTGTGATTGGTCTCACCTTTTTTCCCCGTGGCTCAGTTCTCAAGGTGATTACTCTTCAACTGCTCCCGCTGTTCTCCCTTAAGGTTGCTCTTCTCAAGTGGGCTCCCTGATAAGGCGCGAGCCCACACAGGTGTACCACGTGCTTACCCCCAGGCAGGATCTTGAGGGAGACCCTAGGACTGGAGATCACAAAGAGTATCGCTGGATCTTCTGTCAGGATTCGAAGAATGAGTTTCAGGACGTTGTAGAGGTTTCAGCCCTCTTTGAAATGGAAAAAGATGCTATTAGTAGCTAAGGAGCCAGAGATGTAGGAGCACTGACCACTTTAGGTAGTTTTGACCCCACTGATCGGAAAAGCAGGTGATAAACCTGGACCGACTTGCATCATATGTCAGAGACACTTATGTCAAGCGGCCATAAGGAGGGAATGGTTGGAGAGTAAACATCATGAGAAACAGCCACACGGAAGAAGGTGAGGCCAAGCACAGCTTTCGGAAAGGAAGAAATGCCGGTACACTTGTAGGCTTTTTGGGAAGAATAGCCTTAAGGAGGGAGCAATGTGGCTTCTAGACCTGTTGCTGGACAGGGACCTCGAAGCAAACAACGGGACGGCTGCTGTTGTGCAATAGAGTGATAAACACGCTATTACAACAGTAGAGTTATTGCTCAGTAAACACGTTCCCGCGGTTATACATGCCACGGGAGAAACTGGGTGTTGTGCCGAGGAATTATAAAAGAAAAGGACTGGGGCAACCAGTCAGTTGAACTCTTCAAGGGAGGGTGAGAAGAGTTAACAGTTGACAAGAGTTCTGATGGGCGGCTGTGAAGATAAGACATGAAAGCAGAAGCTGAAGTATCTCTACTGTTAGAAACCGTTGCTAAGGGATGGCTGTTGGTGACAGTACAGGCTGGAGAAGGCTCAGCGGATGCTGTGGTGATTTGTAAAGTGTGAAGATTAGCGATAGTGCTGTAATTACTTTAGCTCCGAGTGGTGTGTATGAGTGGTCAGTAAATCTATTCACCAATCCATATCCCATCTATATTCACACCCCTACTTGTAACAATATTGCCATAATGCCCAAACCAATATTCCTGAAACTTAGTAGGCATGCAATATCATCTGAGGCCATCCCAACTGTGTAGTTCATAAATCAGTCCCATAGTAACAGCAACTCTACAGTCTCCCAAATTGTAGTGTTTTATTGACTTCATTATGCATATATACTTAATTTTTTCTACTTTTCATGTCAGATACTATAATTGCAGTGAAAAGAAAGTAGGCCATTAGTTCTTCCCAGAATTTGTTTTCAAGAAACAATCTCAGCTGCTTCATGGAGCATCTACCTCTGAAGATTATATTAGAATTATCCCTTCTGTCACTTGTTTTGAAAGTTAGGATATAACACTAGTAAAAGCAGGTCGCATAACTAGAGGATTCACATATAAGAATTATTGATCCAGTGAAAGAAAATAAAGGGAAATATTGAAAATTTGTTCCTATATTTACCCAGTCAGAAATTTGTAAGCAGTTTTCAATCATTTCATGAAAGAAACGTGTTTGATTACAGAGAATTTCTATGTTCAAAGTTTATTGATAACCTGAACAGTAGACTACTGAAAGACGACAAGGAATCTTACACAAATTTCCTGTCACTGATTGGCTTAAGGGAACTTCTAGATCACTGTCTCACTCTTCATAGTTCAATGAGGGAAAGGAGGCTTGAACAGTACAGCAGTCTCATAAACTCATGATTATTTTTTTTTTATTTTTAAGAATTACTGAATGAAAGAGGTACCACTCACTCGTATCCCTCAATCTATCAAAGTCAGTATAACACTGGGTTCAGCAGCTTAATGCTGCAGCTTCAGCTTAATGAACAACAGAGCTAATGACAGAATAAATTAGCTGTTAACAAAATTAAGAATATTTCTTATCTAAATATTGTGAAATTTTTATGAAGACCTTTCAGAGGATGGGTGGATATTCCGTTTGTTAAATCGCTGTTAAGGCAAGGATATCCTACAGCAGATGAAAATAGGATCAGAAAGAAAATGAAACCATAATAGTCATAACATCAGTGGCTGTCTGGAGCCTTCTTTACCTTCACAATTCTTCTATTTGTTACGTCTGAGTAATAACTTGTATTCAAAGATTCATATTTTTATTTTAGCATTATGCTAATTTTTATGAATAATTTATTTTTATTAAGGAAAGGAGCCTTCTACTTTACTAGGTCACACGATAAAATTTACTTTCTCAACTGCTTTGAGGGTGGTTTCATGTAGCTTATGTGACTTCCAGGCTGTTGATCTTGCATATTACACTGAAAATCTCCCCGAATTATATTTTACAAAATACAGTGATATCTTCAAGCAATGACACTTTTCCAACTGTGCAGAAGCAGATAAGTGCAGTCATACTTCATAATTTGGACTTACTGCTTCCCAAAATTGGATCAAAAGTAAAAAATTCATAAATAGGGCTCATTACATCTTATGGAATTTAGCGGGTTATATTCCTGTAGCTCAATGCTCAGATACATTTTTCAATATTTTAACCCCTGTTATGCTGTCATTATGTTAGTATTCTTATAAAATGCATAAAGAAACTTCCAGTAACATAATATTATACATTTAAGCTATTACAGAAAGTAAGTTAATTAATATTTTACCATCGATCATTAATAACTATGATTATAGCCACCAGATCATTACAATGTGATGTAAGTCTAAAAGTCTAGTTTGAGTTGGAAGCCTGTATTTAAGCATCCTGTTGCATTACTATATCTAAAACTGTTTATATACTGCACAGTCCATCAACAATGCAAGAAGCTGTTCTTTCTTTCTTTCACTTTCAACACATGTTTTGGCCCTAAATGGCCATCCTCAGTTGCATGCAGTGTAGCAGTTTCAGCATAGTAAGGCACCCGAGAATGGTCATTTAGGCCCAAAACATGTTGTGTCAAAAGTGAAAGTGAAAGAGAGAAGAAACAATTTGTTGCATTGTTGATGGACCGTGTAGTATATAAACAGTTTAAATCGAGTTAGAAGTCTGAAAATTCAGAGCATGTCTTCTAATTTAATGGGGTCAAAAGCCCAGAAATTCACAAGTCTGGAAGTCATATGTTGAAATATGGCTATAGCCTAACGGTTTATATATATAGTTTAATCATAAGTCCAGAAATTTGTAAGTCACTAAGTTGGTTGAGGTAAAACTATATTCTCAAGTACGCTGATTTTAAATGGATAATAAAAATACCGAAATAGGGACTGGGCTGAAGTAAATATGTTGTTAATAAACTGATGTGGCACTACTATGAACAGTTTCAAAAACAGAAAAAAAAAACACCCATTCAGAATTGGCAATTGCCTGATCTGTTTGTGCACACTGCATGTAACTCTGCACCATTTTATTCATGTGATGTGTTTCCTATTGTTGTATCTGCAAGAGTCATGTTTTATATGCATGCATATACTTTGCTATTCTTTCTAATTTTCCTTATGTTTCTGTGCAAATGTCTGTCATATGCCTGTTGGAATGTAAATAAAGAATTAAATTGAACTTCTGTTGGTGTTTCATGCATTTCAGTTGTAATTTTTTTAAATAATTACCAAAGAAGTTTAATTATGAAATATAAAACAATTCCATCCATTCACACTGGATGGAATTGTTTTATCTTTTATAATATTGTTAGTGTGATGGACCAGAATGAAACAAATCAAATTCAAAGAAATTTAATATACTCTCACACCTAAGAATATAATTACCATAAATCATTTTTCCATTGATATGTGATTTTGAGAATACTCTTTATGAATCAAGAATAAAAAAAGCTTTCAGTTTACACAATATTATTTTATTATTTATGTCATAAATAAAATAGTACACACAGTCCTAATTTAACTGCATCTCAGTAAATTTTCCTTATCTGTTTCTGGCATAAGCAGTCACCTTCTTAAAATGTTTAAATTTCCAAAGTAAATTAAAAGTATTTCATAAAATAATTATAATTACCTTTATATTACTCATATTTTTCTGCAGTATTTGGAGAAATATTCAGATACAAGTTCTCTGCAAGTTGTAATGGATTAATTATAGGTGAAATTAGTGTAATGAAATAGAGTGACTTATAACGTGTTTTGAAAAAGTGTAACATCTGTAAACAAATTGCAGTTAACTGAAAAACAGAGAGAGGTATATATTTAAATAAAGAACTACTTTGTGGGCTGTCCAAGATACAAAAAACATAACACATATATTCTCTCAAAGTCATTTCAATGGAACAGTCATGATAACCTGAAATAGACTGTTATCACTCACCTTCTCTTTGATGTTGAACTAGAACTAATGTCATCAATAATATCATCACAGTCATAATGGCAGAACACCCCTGAACCATTAACTTTCATATGAAAAATTCATGATCTCATTTCCCCCACCACAAAATTAACCTTCCATGTTTGACATATCTGCCATCTGTGATTGACTGTACTTGTTGAATGTTTGCATCTTACTGAAAGATAGGTGAGACTGGAAATGCACGTGTATTATGTAATTTGAGACTTGACTTCTTAATAATACTGACACCTTGATGTTGGTATGGAAAGGAATATAAGTGTTTTATAGAGCCTCTTCATGATTTCTATTGCTTCCTCCCCCTACATGAAAATATATTTTGTCATAGCAGCAATGCACCAGAGCTTTCATTCAAGGATGTCATTGCTATGCATTGAGGGTCATTATGTGTGTCTTTTGCATACACTGTGTCGAGAAGGTTTACTGACTTGCAGAGATCAATAGCTGAATTGCAACTTAAAGTAAAATGTGGTGTCATGATTAGCATATGTTAGTGAACTGTGGGGATTTATATAATGAAAGAGTCTGCAAGGTTATTTCTATGAAATATGTTTCTAGAAGTTGCAGGAATGAGGTAAGCCATGTCTGATCAAAGAATCAAAACTTGCTAATAGGCTGATCTAGACTTAGGCTATTGTTTATTTATGAATTATTTAACCACAATTAACTTTTAAAACTTGAAAATTGCAAATACTTGAAAATTTGATTTCATAAATCAGATTGAACTTAACATGATGCAGTGTCACTTCATGACAGTTTTAATGATAAATTAATTGTGACATTGTTCCTGATAACTGTCTACTCTTTAAAAAAAAAAAAAAAAAAAAGGAAAATATGGACACGCAAGAAAGAAGTTTTGTAACCCATACAATTAAATATTGGCCTTATTATGTTGCCTAGCAAACATGGCTTCTTAAGTTACGAGACACTCAGGACAAGTGGAAGAGGACATTGCAGAACACTGTATTCCGTTCACCACGACCTTCTACGTGTAGCATCAGTCGCAAGTCCACTACTTGACCTGACAAGGAAAACAGCGAGACTAGAGGAAAGACACGGCGTGCCTCTAGCCAAGAATCAGGATAAGATGCATTGGATAGACATGTAAAATGCATTCAGGTTGTACAAATCTTGGCGTAAGTTTAAATAATATTTTTAATGTATTTGTAAGTCACATGTGTTTCTAAAAGAGTTGTGGTATATTGTTGAAGTCTCTTCAGATTTGTGTTACACTGTTTTATGTGAAAGCACAAGGTGTTGAAAAGAAGATATCAAGGCACCATATTTTTCAAATGCTATAAGAAGATAGTTATAAAGTTAATTTTTCTGTCAACATTTACATGAAGAACAAGTGTACAAAATTTCTTGGTGTAATGCTGGATAAAAGAAGAAAAGTCTACATAATTGCGTTACATATATTTGATTATTATTGATGTATGAAGGGTCTTCACGAAAATTTCATCATATTGAAAGTTTAGGTTTCAATATATGGAAGGATATAAAAGATACCAAGAAGGATGTCACTTTTTTTTTTGTATTTATGTATTATGACCAATTATAAGTGAATAACACAGAGTTATCAGTGTGAAGAAATTTACAGATGTAATATAGATTCAGATATGTTAATGTTTTTATGTGTTGTATTTTATTGTATTCATATCTGTGTAATAGTTTTGATTTGTATCCTATAAGCCCAGGTCAGAATTGGATGCAATAACTTTAACATAACAGCTTCTTTAGATCACTTTACTTTATAACTTCCTATATTGAAACATGCCATATAAGAATTGAGCAATAAATATTAAAATAATCTGAATATTTCAGACACTTTTGTACTTCTGAAATATTCAGTGTAGGTTTTACAACTGTGAAATTTCTAGTACCATATTCAACAGTTAACTGCCAAAATAAATTTATGAATTTCTGGAATCCATAAATTATTGTTTATGCAAGTTATTTTTAATTTTCAACACTATAAAAATTTATATTTTAATTACTTCCCCCCAAAATATTTATAATGTGCAGATTTTAAATTCATACAGCTGTAGTTTCTAACAAAATTTTCCAAGATATGAGTCCCAAACTCTCATTTATATTGTGAGGCCAACTGTAATTATAATTTCCACATACAGATTAAAGTCCCTCCTTTTGGGGATCAGAAAAGATTTGCTTCAAAAAAAAAAAGGGAAATAAAAGTGGTCCCTGTGTTTAACTGAATAAGCTCTATGCCATGAAGACGTATGGGAGAGTGGAATGCATGGGCAGCTTCACGCCCCTCCTGCTTTACCCCCAAGGAAAGATCCTCTGTTACCTGTGGGCCCCAGAACCCATCTGGACAACTTTGAGAGAAGAAGTTCATAAGTCAAATTTTCATAAAACAAGAGATAGTAGTACAGCATTTGCTCCTATAAGGTGAAATACTACCTGCTGTCAGGGTAAACAAATGTAAAAGCATGTATTAGGTGTTACAGTTCTTATATACATCATGCAGTGAAGTGAAGCGAATCCATAATAATCACTTGCACACATTTCAACATAAGATGTAACATTCAGGCACTGGTCAAACAATTATTTCTGAAATGTCATAGCTTTACATTTCATGTCCATTTTATTAATCAGTCACTTCAGCCTCTAGTAAATTACTGTCACTTTTCAAAATTTGCTGTGTTTGCTATGATATTGCTGAGCACAGTCAGTAGGTGGTGTTGACATGATGCTGGCTATCAAAAGTGCCATGCTTCCTTGTGTATTATCATCTCCCCAGTATCACCAGTTACATTGTAGAAGACTTTATTTTGAATATGTGATTTATTTAATACATTCATGTCCTACATCAAGAATATATGTGAGTGTAATTTTTTATTATTATTATTATTATTGTTGTGATTTATTTAACACATTCATGTCCTATATCAAGAATATATGTGAGTGTAATTTATTATTATTATTATTATTATTGTTGTTGTTGTTGTTATTGTTATTGTTGTTATTAGTATTATTATTACAGCCTTAAATGTGTTTTTTAGTTTGTCCTATGGCATGTTGTGCACCATTAATTACTACAGATATTAAATATTGTACAGTAAAACCTCTCTTAAACGGACCCTTTATTAAACGGAATTTGTCTTAAACTGAAATATTTTCAGGTCCCTTGTCTTTGGGGCCGAAAAAGATGTTAAATATCCTGGATTAAACGGAAACTGCCTAACGTGGAAACGAAAATCAAAATAAGCCTTTATATGCAAAATTTCCAGTCTTCTGGAATGCATCGTTAAAAGAATTTTAGGTATCCTACACATTCTACGGAATTTTATTTTCTCTAACTCTTTCAATTCAGCTTTTAATTGTACTACACTACCTGCATTGAAATTCAACTGAGCTCTTTGCCCCTTCCAGAAATTTTACTCAGTAAGGGCTCTAGGCCTTCTCCTCCTCATGGTGCAGTTTCCTCCAACCTCCCTTCACTTCATCCCTCTTCAGCCAAAAGACTCTCCACACCACCCTGTTCTCAAACACCCTCAGTCTGTGTTCCTCCTTTGATGTTAGAGACCAAGTTTCACACCCATACAGAACCACAGGCAAAATTATAGTTTTGTATATTCTAATTTTTAAGTTTTTGGACAGCATATGAGAAGACAAAAGTTCTTGACTGAATGGTAGCAAGCGTTACCCAAGTTCAGTCTCCTCTTAATTTCCTCCTCAAATATGTTTTGATTTGTTACAGTCATTCCTAAATATCTACACTGTGCCCCATTTTCAGAACACCTGTTTCCTATCTTTATGTCATAATTTTGCCCTGCATCTTGGTAATGAGACAACAACATATATTTAGTTTTCTCTGTGTTTACTTCTAGACCAATCTCCTTGCTTGCATCAATTAAAGTTTATGTGTTTTTCTTTATGGTATCTACATTATCACCCAGTAGATTCACATTCTCGGCATAGACCAACAGCTGATGTGTCCCGTTTAATTTCGGTCCCACCTGGTTTTCCTGGACCTTCCTAACGAGATAATCTAAAGCAAATTTGAAAAAGAGTGGCGATAAAGCATCTCGTTTTAGACCATTCAGGATAGGAACGTTATCAGACAGCTGTTTACCTACATGGACTTTACTATACGTTTCGTTTAAACACCTTTTAATCAGCCTAAGTAGTTTCATGGGTATCCCAAACTCTGTCAGAATATTGTACAATACTTCCCTGCTAACTGAATCATAGACTTTCTTGAAGTTTACAAATAGCCGATGTACTGTCTCATTGTCTCATTCATAACTTGTACTCATCTCCAAGTATAATTGGAATGATCATGTCAAGGAGGATGAGGTGGGCAGGGCATGTAGAATGAATGGGGGCGAAGGGGAATGCATATAGGATACAGGTGGGAAAGCCAGAAGGAAAGAAACCACTGGGAAGACCAAGCCGTAGGTTGGTGGACAATATTAAAATGGATGGATAGATAGGATCGGATGGTATGGATTGGATTGGTCTGGCTCACAACAGGGACCAGTGGAGGGATCTTGTGAACACACTAATGATCCTTTGGGTTCCATAAAATGCTGGGAGTTCATGAGTAGCTGCACAATTGGTGGCTTCTCAAGAAATATATATATATATATAACAAGAAACTGCCATACCACAAACATGCATCCATTTCTCTCATATGGTGGTGTACTAGTTGCACTCATGCTCTGAGTGCCCTTGACCTCGGAGAATTTGATTCAGGGATGGCAGACAATGATTTTTCTTTTGTCATGTATACAACTACTGGTTACCAACAGTTCCAGAAAAAGAGACAGTTCACTTGGTCATTCAGAAATATGTTCTCTTCTAATGCCAGACAAATTATTTGAAATATTTGTATAGCTGGATTTTGGGTGACCATGTCAAGACCTCTGTTATGTAGGATTTATATTAGTGTTTAAATTTTACAGTCTCTTTCACTTACATCCTCCTGAAATTTCACAGCTTCTTCTGAACTCTGATCTTTACCACATTAAGGATGTAGCCATAATGTTCAGTATTTTTAATCACTTCACAACTCTTCCAAAGATGGAGCCACCAGATTCCTCCAAAATATTGGTAACTACCTTCATGATTACACAGTGTCATTAGCCTAACTTGTTCTGTGGTACATAAAATTCAGTGAGTCGGTTACATAATACTTTACTCCTGAGACACGGTCTCTTTTTAAGTCTATAAATAGCCGATGTAATGTTCCATTGTATTCTCCCTCCCTCATTCCCAGATACTAGTAGTGTCTTTATCCACTTTCCATTCCCTTTGTCAATTTAAGTTCCTGTTGAAATTATGTCAGCCACACAGAATTGCACAAACCTGGTAGTAAGCGATCTGCATCATATTAAGCATTTTAAATCAGCACACATTAACCTTTAAATGCCAGACTTTTGAAATGGTAGTAAGCTTGAGCTGGCCAGAGTTTATTTAAATGCCCGCTGCTGGTGCGTGTTTAAATGCCCGTTGTTACTCTGCGTTTAAATGTCCGTTCCTGTTAGGGCACTTAAACAATTTTAAGCATTGTGTTTAAAAATGCTGTATCTAACATAATTTTTATGATAAATGGATGGAATTAACTTTGTTTGTATCAGCAAAGAACATAATGTCACATATTATAACAGATGATTTGAACATTTTTGTACAAAGAATTATACTCTTTTTTTTTTTTTTCAATTTTTTTCTTTTAGTTTTGATTCGTACTGCAAAAATATTTTCCCAGTTCTTCACAGAGTTGTCCTGCATTATAAATTCATGTCTGTTGGTAACACTTGACAAATTTTAGCAGTCCCTGGTGTCATAAAACAGATGGAAGCAATAAAATCATTTGGTTCTTTGCTGGGAAACCTTACATCTTGTTACACCCTTCAAATTTTCGAATCTTTTGGCTAAAGGACAGAAGAATGAAAGAATGTCTTTTTAAGAAAAAGAGCTAGAGGGGTCCCTTCTTCAGTGCTAAGACCTTCTGTTATAGCTGCAAGAGATTATTGCCCTTTCTATGGTTGTGAACAGACAGTTGCATCGTGGCTGAGATACAGAGTGTGATCTGTTTTCTGTGCGTTCGTAGTGACATCGAATGCAGTAGTTTCATTTCAGCCTATATATACCAAGCAGATGATAACAAAAAAGGTATGTACATCGAATTTTACACATTTTTAACACATTAATCGGCAGAATCTGCAATAAAATTACTGGCTCATGGATGAGTTTGGGCATAACTCATACGTATATTCTTTTTTGCTGTTGTTAACTTAGGTATCGTTTTAATTCCTCTATTAGAGTTTTACTCCAGTCGGTCTGGTAATTACTACATACAAAAATAAATATTTAGGACTGTCCATGCGCTTCTACTAGGGATGTGTGCGCGCTTCCACTAGCAGATTTTAAATGCCCGACTGGCCAAAACGGTGTACTTTGGCCACGACGACTAGACTCATCACTGGCACAAACGGGGCACTTCGGATGTTAAAGGTTAATGAACTTATGGTGCAAATTTTCTTTATTTACTGGGTAATACATTTTTGGCTGTGACTTTGTTTCATGAGACTGATTTAGCCTTAGTTTATTTGATGGTGGTGGACTTCTTAAGAGTTACATAATTAGTATTGTATGTATATTATGCTAAATTATTATTACTTACCATCACTTTTGTACCTGGGCTTATTGTCTCTCTGTTAAATGTTTTAGAACCACTGGATTGTATGCTGGCATGTTATGGGATTGGCAATACTGCTGAATTATACAGATATGCTGATTATTTCTTACCAGATGTTAAAAAGATGTTTGAATAAATACAGATTTAAAATAATCACTGTTTATCTTTAATATGCATATGTGATATATACAAAATAAGGTATAACACTTTTTATAACCATCCAATATAGATGGAACTTATGAATGCTGAGAACAATCTATTTCCCTTTCAAAATGTCAGTGCCATATTTTCAAAGACAATTGTATAAAGGGTAATTTTTATAAACCTGATTATATATAGTATGTATGTATGTATATATTTATGTGCAGTCACATATATATATATTTTAATGCAACGTCACTAATGAAACAATTTCAAGGAATAAGCAAATTTTGAATCTTGATATCACATAGAATAATTGATTTTGGATAGTTATTATCTACTCTTTTGTGTCATTCTTCTCAACAAGACCCTGATTTTGGCTACCATCATGGCCACTTCTCATTGAATGGGAAGGCTGATAAAGGATATAT